GTTTAATTAAAATGGACGCCGTCAACACACCACGGACATCCACCTCGTGAACGTCGCGAGCAGGATTTGAACCTGCGCGGAAATGTCCCCAATTGTTTCTAGTTTAGGGAAGAAGTCGACAACAGTTGTGGTTTGGTAAGCCCGGGAATTTTCGTCTTTGCGTCGTGAATGCAACACGAACTGATTAACTAAAATTGTACTCTTGATGGTTGCAGGATCGCAATGATGCGAAAAATATGGCAAAATAATCTCGGATAATGCAGAATTTAAATTAATAATTTAATTTCACCCTTGTCAGATATTACATCTCTGTCAACTTATTTATTTTCTGTTTGCAGAAAATCGTATTTTACATCAACTAACGCATAAATTAGGTTTTGGTAAAACTTATGGAATGAGAATTAATATTGTGTCTTTATTTCGAGGTAAACAGGATTCGGGAAATTTGAAAAGTTTCGTGTGTGTGGGGGGTGTAATGGGGCCTTGGTGATTTAATGCTTGGCATGCGTGGGTTTCTACAAGGGATTAGGGCCTAGTGTGCAAATGTTGATTTTCTTCTCATGAAAACTTTACACAGTGAAACTTTACATGTTCGTATCAAAGTGAACGCCTGGCGGCTTCTTAAGTGGAGTCTGCTGTTGTATAGTACCGCCACGCACCAACCCATTGACTGGATGGTGTGACTGGGACCCCAGCCATTCAATTCCAGACTCTCCTGAGATACCAAAGCGTTGCTGTCTGAGAGGAGAGTTTGTGACCCTAACTGCAGTGGCGGATGAGGAAGGATACGGTGAAGGACTGCTATCGATATTGGTGGTCGCTACTGGTACTGGAGGCGGTGGAAGTCCAAAATCAGTGGGTGGCGGGATGGTGGCTGCGAGGTCGCTGGATATGGTCAAGTCGTTTGCCACTCCAACTGCATTTACGGCGTCCATGTCGGTGACTTGGGTCAATAAGGGCTGGCATCCCTGAGGGGGTCAAAAGAAAAAATTACCGACACGTCCATTTAATTGAGTATTTACGCAATTTTTCCATATTGGCAACCTGAAGAAATTGGTAAAAATGACAGATCCTGTGATGCTTGACAGATTCCAAATTTACATCGCAAGATCAAATGCATATCGTTCGTAATTTGATTCAGACTGAAAAAGATACTTTTTGATTGTTGCCATAGCTGGGGATTACTGCAATACGGTGCGCAGATAAATTACAGGGTTTTCATGCGTCATGCTTAAAATTTCATGCAACGAAAATATGTTGGCTGAGTTCTGTCACGATCGATAAAAATTAAACTTATATAATTATCACTGTACTCTAGTAAAAGAGCGAATTTTACCTATCTGAATCCTATTTTATAAAACTCGCGTCATTCTACGGAAAGGCCGATATTTTTGTGATCAATATAAGCATCCTACTTAAATATACTACGTAGGACTTACATCATTGGTGAAGCTGACAATGGGGCGCTTGGGGCTTCTTTCGAGTGTGGCATTCTCCACTGGATAAACCCGGTCAGGTGATGCAAACGATGAATTTCTTCGAGATACCTGGCCGAAACCTGAGTAGTAGGTGGAAGAATGTTTTGGGTTGCATTCACTTGTGCATATATTTTAAAGCGCATATATGACAGTGGCTGTCATTCTCACAGAATTAAATTAAAAAAAGACCCATGGATGTGGTACAGCAAAAGGTAGTACAACTGCTGGATTACAGTCATACTTCATATAATTTTGATAGAAATTTAGTAGAAACACTGGTAATTACTGCTCGCATTAAAATGCATTGGCCCTCTTTTTACGTAATACAAGATTTGACCTAATTAAGTGGTTGTGCATAGAACTCACGAGTCAATTTGTTTGCCTACACTGGATAATCCAGCTTGCATATCGGTGCAAGTTCAGAGACTGTTATGTTAGTTGGTGTTTCACACATCGGCGCCTCGAAAAATTGCATTGTGTGGAAAGAACATTGCGCAATTACACATCATGGAAAATCGCAAATCCCGGTTTTACGGTGACGCTGCTTCATAAATTTGAATGTCATGCGAATTTACCACCAACCGTTGGAAGCATGCGGGAAAGGTCAAATAACTTTGGTTTTGTTTTATTTGCGTCAAAGGCACTTTGCGAACAATGACTAATTCATCGAAAATATTTGACTTTAAAGGATGCCATAGGATTATGACGAATGCATAAAAAATGTTTGTCTAATAAGTTTTGAAATTGTATTTCCAGGTTTTCATCGAGATTCAAGGTTTTGGAGTTGAAAAACAGACCTAGGCATGTCATTAACTAAGTTATATAAAACATGACTTATTTATCTTGCAATTCTGTTTCCCCTTCTACTTAAACCTGATTTTAGGGTTTCGGGTGGTAAAAATGCTAGAGCGAAATAGCGGAATGCCAATTTAAGTTAAATGTTTGGCTTTTTAATCGTAACTAGGCTTAGAGCGCCTACGAAAGCAGGCAAGAGAAAGCCTTGAGGCTGTTGTCAAATTATTATCTCATATCATTATGCAGAAACAATGATGAAATTTTACAACTGGGTCAAAATGCCACCAAAATTTACAAATGAAGGTTTTGTCTTATAGGCAAACATTTAAGTCATTCAGCATTGTAACCACATCAGTCAAACTTACTATTTGGCAACTGGGATCCCAGGTTGTTACTTATTCCACCATTTAGGTCTGATCTTGGAGGTGAATAAAAACTCGTTATCATTCTTGGTGAAGAATAGTAGCCGAGAGTGGTGGCTCCGGTATGTACAACCCTCGAACCTCCACCTCCAAATCCACTGCTGCCAGCACCTCCTCCTCTACCCTCAGAAACTCCGCCGACTGATTTGTCAGTGAGGGAGTGTGGTGACACCGTGCCCGGGTGGTGTGGAGGAAGACCGCCGTAGAGTGCCGCGGCAGCAGCAGCAGCAGCTCCAAGAGGATCATCCGCTAAGTACCGGTGAGGATTCGGCGCAGCGACTAAATAGATGGATTGATCATGTGGGTAAGAGCCAGTGACACTGGTGGTAAAACTTGGATGCCTCTGGTGGGACAAATGACTCGGGTGTTCTAGAGACGAGGGTGTGGTGGGCGGTTGGAGTCCGTGGGAACGAGAAGAGTGCAGAGGGGAACTTGAGCGCGACATTGTTTGGGAGTTTAAACGATGTTGTTGTGCGTGGTGCTGCATTGCAGCTGCATGCTGCTCGGCTGCGGTGATCATGGCGGGAGAGTTGGTGAAAAGGTTAAGGGGTGAGTCACGCGGAAAATAGGAGCCCGTTGAGGATATGTACTCTGCCGGCATTGACGGTGAACACTGGGTAAACTATAAAATTCAAATAGTCTATTTGTTTGTTGTAAAATCCATGTTTAGTAACGGCCTGGAGGCAGGACTGATCTTCATTAGAAAAAATACTTAAATTAAAAGGAAGCCAAACGACTTATTCAAGGTGGAATGTACACTTTAATTGCGAAAAAGTAATCGTAGTAGCTGTTTACTTGTCATCCTACTTAAAATTGCAGACCCATTTTACTTATTATCTGGCGGTTTTGCAAAGTCTTATTGGAATAGTTAAAGACACACTGCCTCCTTATCGCTGTGGGTAATGTTTAAACTTTTTCCCTAATCTACCAAACCTATATCACATACTTAGCTAAACTTGCAAGCAAATATGTCCAGAAAATATGATTTTGCATAATTTTTCGATCAAATTGAATAACTGTATTTTAGTCCTTTAGTGTAGAACTTACATGCTCAAATTGATACTGACTGAGACTGTCTTTTTGACTGGCGGAATCCAAGTACGGTCCAAAAACGTGCTGTCCGTTTAGGAATCGGTCTGGGTAACAGTCCGCTGTGGGATATGCATCCATCACGCCACATTTGACTAAACCTACAAGGGCCCAACCATATCAAGCTAGTTTATGTCATCGTGGAATAGCGAAAATTCGACAATTCTGCTAACGAAATACCTCAGTTAAAAAGTATTTTTTTCACCAATGGCAAGTACCTGTTCTAGGTATTTTGAAAGTCTTAGTCTTTTAAAATTAATTTGAACATCCAAGCACTCTTTTTCGTCAGATTGGAGTCTTCTGTGCCTTTAAGCTGTATTTGCGCCAATGCGTTAGGTAACACGATGAGAACAAATATGGGTAAACGCTTCCGAGTATGTGCCAAGCCTCATTTAGCACACGCGAGAGATCACACCAAGAGTGCTTATGTACTAACAGTCAAAATACTTAAGACAAGTTTCGAGGTAAACTAGGGTTGTGTAAACCTTCCGTAAAAGATTCGAAAGATAAACACAGGAAAGCTTGCTGGGACTCGAAAAACCCAATCTAGATTGTATGGATAATTTTCACATTACTTACCTTGAATAAATATTATTTTTTTGTATTAAAAAAGACCTCTGCATTTCAAATGGTTTTTTTGTCATGTCAAAATCATTGTCATTGCCAATCGCAAAACGTTCCTTTTAGACACAAACAACAATCCATTCATTCCTATATCACAAAGTTTACCCCTGAAATTGGTTATAATCCTAGTAACGTATCATACTATGGCTGAGCCATCATGGGTCGTTCATAGCGAGGAAAGGTTACTTAAATCTGGCAACGGGAGATATAACTGCCGGCCTAGTTGCAAAACACAAACAACCCATGGTCTCTCCTGGACTTTAATGCATTTGAAAATTATGTGCCTTTAATGATTTCCCATCTATCTTTCCATTCGTGGGCGTTCTGCCCTCCGAGGAATGTCAAAACACTTTGCGCCAAAATGTCACGTCGTGCAATTATTTGATTTGCCACCTACCCTGCGTGACTTTATATATTATTATTGCACCTCCCCGTCCTCCCCTGGCCGGCTTGCAAAGTTAAAACTCGAGGGTGACGAGGAAGAACACGGGCAAATGTCTTCCGTTGTTGTCTAGCCCCTTGACAGGGTGCATAGGTGCCACACTGCCAAACATTTTTTATCTGCCAATGAAAGGCTTTCTCTTCGAAACTGTTGGTCTTATAAACCCAATCTAGAGTTAAGCTGCAAAAAAGGAGTTCGTAGAATCAAATTAAAAATACAATTTTTAATGAATTTTGGCGCGACCCTTAAGAATGCTTAAATGCGAGCACAAATTTTGAAGACTACAACCTGGATTAGTCTCATGCTCTAAAGCTGTAAATTTTAGCACAGAAGACATTTTCACACTTCTTAAAAGTCGTGTCTTAAGGTGACCAGGGTTGCAGAAATTAGTGGAGCAGCTTAAACCTCTCTTCACCTGCCAGAGTCAAATTAGATAGCCATGCGGAATTGCAAAGAAATAAGGAAAAGAACAGTTGGAGAAAAGAGACGTAATAAAACATTGTTAAAATGCACGGATTAGATGGGTGTACAACCAAGTCCTAGAAGCTATAATACATTTATTCAGGCCATGCCCTTATTCTACTCTCATTGAATCATGTTTTATTAAAAGCATAGCTCGAATAGCGGCCTCAACTTTCATAGCCAAAACATGCCTTACACGTCCGCAGTAATCACCGAAAGAGCCTACACCCTCAATCATTTCTGGTATCAAGTCATTAAACCTGGCAGCTCGGAATCAACTTTTATTTTCTTTGCTCAGAGGAGGACTTAATTGGCCTAATGTATGCTAACTCACGTTTTCCTACCTAAATACAAAGACCAATAACTTGAAAAGTGAAAATATTTAATGGGTTTCGTTATGATTGTAAGAGCGAGGATTTTTGCAAAATGCTGTTTTTTAGTGTTCGCTGAAAGGTTCGATTTTGAAATATTAGGCAGCTGCTGAAGCTACACTAGAAAATATTCCATCAGCACAAAACATTAAGTAACCTACTACCACTTACGCAGTAAAGTTCAAAATCATGCATTTCTTAACACCCTACATTGTGAGCATATACAACTGACGGCACTTTTTGCTGGTGACATTCATAACTTTTCAGAGAAATGTTTCTATCTAAATAAATGATTTTGTAAAACCTCTTTCAATAAATCCATGAAATGGAATAAGGGACATTACGTACCGCAATGCTAGATTAAGATATTAGAAAAGACATATTTGACTTGGGGGTGGCTTTCTTGGCAAGAATCTAGGCATGCAGTCATTGTCACACATTTTTGCTGTAGAAAACCTCGAAACCAAGATAGTGTGGCTAAGTTGTGTAGTGAACATCCCAGATTGATATCAGTGATTTATTTTGTCAGAACGCCCGGAATAAGAACCTCACAAGTGAGGATAAAAATTCCCCAGGCGACCAGAAACTAAAAAGTGCTTTACTTAAAATGGGACAAGACTTTGCATTCGAGACAAAACGCTACGTGCGAGCCAGCAAAAGGCAAAATGACAGCTTGAGACTCCGAGTTCAAAGGGAATTTCCAGTGATTGATCCGAAAGATAACCCTAGTCGAAGGCGAGAGGGTGCTTGGTGAATTAGGGGGAAAGGCTTCGTGAGAAGCTTTTTAATGGCAAAGGAGCGAGCTAGTCGATAAAATCATGAGAGTATGCATAATAAAACCATTCCAGTGCGTTTTCTCCTAGCCAACGGTATGAAACGTAATCACGAAATCCGCAAAATCAGATTAGCTTCCTTACCCTCCGTGCATACGAATGATTTGACAAAAAAACATTCAAAAGCATTTCTGCCATCTGTCGATGTAGGCAAGGAGAAGGGCAACTGCATGTCAGGGAATTCATTGTGAATGCCATGCAAAATTAACACCTGAGTGCTACCGAGGAAAAAACGCCACCAATCACCTAACTAACCTGACCAGCGCAATTTACTGGGAGATGCCAAAGTCGCCTGGAAATAACTTACTATCTGTCCCAGGTATCCGTTTGAGTTTGGAGCTTTTTCTTTGATGTCTTCGATGAAGCACAAGGCCAACGATAATTAGATTGGTAATAAAAATGAGGCACCCAAAGCACGTGGCGATCGTGATAATCATAGAGATGCTCGGAGACGATCCCCTTGCTGCAGGATCGCCGTCTTCGTTGAGGGAATTCACTCCAGCCATCTGTCCCGCGTTGGGCCTCCAGCCGCCACTGCCAGCCTGAGCCTCGTCTCGCATTGCCTCTTCTGGTGGGTCTGCGGCAGCTTAAAACCATCGCAGAACATTTGATATCTCGTTCACCGATGGTCTGTCTTGTCAGTGTGCTATTTAGAAGCTAGCAAAATCGCACCACACTGTGCTAATCAATCCACTGTAGCTTAGCCAGACCTACTTTGTGTGTTGGATTTTGTTTATTTTAGCTAAAAGTTCCCGTTCAAAAATCACTGTCAGTAATAAATTAATGATATTTGATTATTAACAGAGAATGGTGATGCGTAGTCCAGTAGTAAATAGTGAAGTTGTCAAAAACATGCACAGGGTACAAGATTTATGGTGAAATATTCTTAATAAAGTAAAATTTAGTTGGAACGTCACTGAGTGATGACATAAGACATGTGTCCCTGAATTGAAAATTGATTTAAAATTAATTGTCAGGCCTTAAAGTATTTCGAGTTTTCAAAACCGTGTGTTTTTTTTAATAAAACCAATAGTCCACAACTCGGATATTTGTCAAAAAAGGTTCGCGAACTCAATTTTTTTGTGACAAAATGCATTAAGGATGATTAGGGGTCATCGCCAACCTGAAAAATTCCCACCTTGTCTGTAGGTATTATGGGCTCATTCATGTTGCCATCCGCCCTTAATGTTAAGGTTTATTCAGGAAAATGAGGTAGATCGAAACGGCGTACGATGGCTTGAAGGAATAAATGTGTCTAGACGATGGGACTGAAATTTAAAGTCAGCCCTGTTCGATCATAAATTTTGCAGCAAATAAGGTCATAATGTGTACCTAGAGTAAATAGATTTTCCTTAACCGTAGGCCAGGAAAATCTGGAAAAAAACTTACTATTTTTTGGATATTTTAGTTAGGGTGCTGATAAATAAATTATAAAGCTATTTCTTAAAAGCTTAATGGCTGTATAAATTTAAACGATTTATTCCATCTAACGAATTATGGCATCTGGCACATACATTTGACAAGCATTTGTAAATACAACTGCGAACAAAAAGAACCGGGTATCACTTATATTTTTTTACAAAATTTAATTAACTCAAAACCTCGTTTGTATTACCAAAATCTTACGTTAGTTACACTAATTTGATCGACTTGCAGGTGGCAAGAAATATTACTTGATTATATAATAAAATCACTAATATTTGTCCCTGGCCAACTAAATGCGTGAGAGTTAAATAAAAGGGTACACAGGTATAGCATTGGTAGCAGTTATTGGCTTCGGCATACATTTTGATCCAAAACAAGACCAATTTGTCTGATGCACATTTCTAGATTGCACAAAATACCAATAGTAAAGGAGGGCGCAGAAGAGAGTAGCCATTTACCATTGTGTCATTTGTAAGTAAATTTGAAGCCTCTCAAGCAAGCGTTTCCTAGACCCAAAACTGCGAAAACTGGAGATTCAGCCCCGCGGCTAGTGCAGTAATTAAAGCGATTTCAACTCACCTGTGGTTGATGCGATGAGGTAGTCAGTAGCAGGTGAAGCTTTGTGAAGGGCGTTTTTAGCGGACACGCAGATGCGGTACGTTGTGGCTTTAGAGAGATCTAAACAAAACCCAATCAACTCGAATGCCGATTTTTGTGACTCTGAAATGAGTGCAGTAATTCGACTCGAACCAGTCACGAACAAATAATATTTTAAAATTTAGAGAATATTCCGCAGAACAATATGTATTTTATTCAGGTTGCGTAGTTTCGTGGAGCAAATATCAAAAATAGTCTCACTTTGTACCAAGAAATATCCAGAAAGACAAATGTATAAATCTCTTGGCCCAAAACACCAAACCGGATAAATTACCGCACGGTGATTTGGCCTCTTGAACATAAATTGAAAGCCGACTCAAACTGCCTTTTACTGCTACATTTGCCAGATATTTTGGCTTGCTTTCGAAAACTGCTGTTTCTATGAGTTTGGGCAGTAGTCGCGGTGTATGGGCGGAAAGTAATATAATCTAACCGTTGTCAACAAATATAACGAGTTCCAGCTTTCAAGTCAAAAAAATATTTAGTAACGATAAAACGGAGACTAGTGCACCGCTGATCCAAAGAGGTAATAGCAACTTCAATCATTCTGGTTAGTGGTAAGTTCTTAAATTGTATTTGACTAGAAAGAAACATTACTTTACCCATTCGGTGTTACTGGTGCAAAGTATTGAATTAAAAGAAGAAAGACCTAACATGAGAAAATCGTCAAGGAGTCCCTCTCGTCGTAGAATTGTATTAAAATATTAATAATGCTGTGCTTAATACTCTAACAAGAATACATGCACATTTAATGCACAAAGTAACTTAGTCATGTTAAAATATGCAAACTTTCTTGGCAATACTAAAACCGACTATGAAAATGCGGAATAATTGCTAGGACATAATTTTGAGGGTAGCGTTTTTGCAATCTTGTGTTCTCTTGCTTCAATGCTTCAGTAATTTTAACTACAAATTAAAGGCTTCGAGTTTTCCCCTACAGATAAAATTTTCGTAGTTTATTAGTCTGATTTGCCTGATAGCAATCGGCGAGGACGTTGGTGCAAATTGGCAAGACCAATTAATCGTAGAAGCTTTAATTTTTGCAACTGCCTGGTTAGCGATAATTTTGTAGCTTTCTACACACATGCTAAGAAATTTGTAGACCTACTCTCAATTGTGTGTTTCATTACTTCCGACATCAGGTCTTCTTTGGTCTCTGTGGCTTGCATGGCATCTGGTGCATCGTTCGGAGCCCATTTGACCTAAAAATTAGATGGTCGCTGTTTGATTCAACAGCTCGAGGGTTTCCTGATAACGGGTTAACATTTTAGTACAGTAAACTGGTTGCGATACACAAACTTAAATGTAAAATTTGAAGATGGTAAATTGACAATTGCTGTCAAATAAGTTTAAATGCCCTTGCATTTCAGATTGATGATTGTGAACAAAGAGAGGAAGGAAAATTTTTAGTGACATGGAGCAAGCTAATCAGCTCTTTGCTTCTACGAAACTCTACGTTAAAAAAATTGTCTCAAACACCGATCGAATATCACAATCATGACTAAATCGGTTAAGCACAGTATTAACACGAATGTGATTTATGTGCAAATTTATTATGCACCATCAGGTCATGAGCAGGTAGCTTAACAGATCGACAATCACAATCATAATCCGAATTCATAGTAAAATCGATGGAAATAATATTAAATATGCAGTTTTAAATTGTGAAACAGATAAAGTATGAACAAAATTTTGCTATTAGGGCATGAAATTTTTCTAACTGTTACTAAGCGTCAACTTGGTTCGTACATGAAGCAGAACTAGCAGATATTTTTTGTATTTTAGATGTACTTTGCTTCGCAGAAACCTGTTTCTGATGCAACATTAAATTCAACATAAAGTTTCGACAACCCTCGTTTTGTAACAAGGGCCTTAGTCTATTTCTATTTTCTTGATTTTGCAAAGTATAATTTTCACTTGACACGGCATGCCCTTGTAGGGAAGGTTAGAGGTTCTTCAGGGAAGTTTGAAGACCCTGGGTTGTTCTTTAGCCCAATGGAAGTGTTACGACGCGCCTTGTCCTTAGGCTATTAGCTGGTGACTAAATGAAATCAAAACATAATCTGCTTTGCTTTTGACTTTGTGCCAAAAGTCTATTAGGCATTACTTGACTAACCAGACAACTTTAGCCTGGTTTCTCCTAGTTTAGTGGAAATGAACACTATTTCAAGGATTTATTTCGATGCTGACCGAGGAAGGCATACGAAATTTGGTTGACAGACTTTGAGCCAAGAGGCGATTTGCGGATACTTTGGTAAACTGAAGCACATTTCTGTTATTCTGCTGGCCAAAAAATACAGCAGGTCCTCTAATACAAACATTTGGTTTGTTTGTATGTGGCCTCTTAATGGGCTTTGTTTATCTACAATGGCAACAGAGACAATTAAAAGAGTTGCTCTGCTCTCGGAGCAATGAAGGTCTGTCTTGAAAGGTTTCCTGCCTTATTTTTCTTATTTTAAGGCTGTCGAGCTTGTCATCTGGTGAATAGAAATGCCGATATATTAAACCTGCAGATGTTTGATAAAGTCTGATTCGTTTTTATAATAATGTGAGTCAATTTTAAAATAGCAAAGTTAACCAAATTTCGGGGTTCATGGAATGGTCTATTGCGCCATCAATTTTCATAATTTAAGTCTTTAGACGCTTAACTGCATTCAGTTCAATTAGCTCTTCGAAACATAACAGTAGTGACAACTTCTGAGCTCGAGGTGATCTTGCACTTTCCTTAAACTAGATAACTCATGAACAAAACAGCGATGAATTAGAAAAAAATGGTTTTCTATGTGTGATTTTTCTCAAAGCGGGACCTTAATTCTGCAATGTCTTGTCAAGTACCATGCATTAGACCTTATGCCTTAGGTTTTTAGATTTTTTTGAAAAGTGTTCTATTTTCTATGATCACAAAACTGATTCAGTGCAAATTAAGTATTTTCCAATCTTTGTTGCGTGTGTGAGATAAAAAAGTAGACTGCAGCAGAAAATCACACTAATTGGACGAATACATGTAACCGTGTATTTTTCCGCAGAACAACTTTGGAAGAGGCTATTTAATTTGTATATCTTACGATTTGTAAAGGATGGAGTTGGAAAACAAAACAGCATAAGACATAAAGTAGTAATATTCACAATTTCTTTACAAGAATTAAAAGTACAGAACGTAAGAACCAAAATCCTCTATTTAAAGCTACAAGTTTAAAGGAAATTCAAACGCATTAATCCAAAAACAAAGGTCATTTTGTTATTTGCATCTTAGCTGATCTAGCCTGGTCCCATGTGGTGGCATTTTATCAAGATAAAAGTGAGGCATCAGATCGCTCAAATTATGCAGACATTTCATACACATCACAACCATTGCGAGTAATTTACCACAACTGCTAAGTCACAATAAAACTTGTCTGGATATAAACCACATGCAAACACACGTTTATATGTGTATTCTATAGGAAACTACCAGTGAACGATTGCCAACGCATAGAATGAGGATACAATACTTCCAAATTGAAAAAAAATATTTGATACAATTCATCAAAGATAAAGGAGACCGTTGACTTGAAGGTCGTTGAATGATTCATGTCTAGCAACAGCAATTAAGGCCTTGCTTCAAAAGCATAAACGTAGATGTTCTTCTCCAAGAGAGTCCCACAGGAAATAAACAAACGAGTCCAATTCAGGAAACACATGGAGATGCCAAGGGGAACAAATGGCAAGCCATTTGTGCGACTAGACCGCCCGACATAGATTTTCATGAGTAGGGCCCACATTAATGGATGGTTTGTTTATGTGCAGGGAATATATTTCGCGGTGGATTAGTGGTAAAAAGTAGCTGGGACTACAAAGACAGTGTTGTAAACTGCCAACTGGTAATCGAGTGCGCATACAGGTAGACCGGGGTACAATATGCAAAATCACGCGTGCAGTTAGAGTTTAAATCATATACTAGCATATGGTCAACATCCTTTAAATCAGCAGAAGTGTTACTATTAATTGCAAATGTTCACAGTAATCAACAAATTATTTTTCCATGAATGGCGCCTACAGTTTGGAAATAATCAAAATTGGTTTGCAAACCGAGCTTTCCTCGGAAAAGAGAACCTTTAGTGCAGAACATTTTCAGGATTTTACTTTGAAAATAAACCTGTTTGCACACCAAACAGGATCACTTCGGTCCCGAAAGTTAGGAATGCGGAAGGTTTTGCCGAAGGGGGCAGCGTATGTTGGGCGCTTCATGTCATGGCAAAATTTGTTCTCGAGTGCAAATTCGTTAAAAGTATGTTATGGCGAATAAGTAATGCTTTTTCTTTTGACAATGTTTTTTTTCAGTTTTTTAGTGCCAAAATATTCGACTATAGATAATTTACGGTACTGGAAGATGCAACAGGCATCACCTGGTACTAAACTAGAATCGTATTCCGATTTTTAAAAATTAAATTTGATATTTTGGGCAACAAATTGTTTACAGGCTTCAAATGGTCGGACATGAAAATAATAATATCAATGATTGGCGCATTATGTTTAATTGTATGTGTTCTCAGCACGGAACATACACAGGTAAGGTGCTTGCAATAATGCTCGGGTCAGGATTTCAGTGTAGGTAGTGCATGTTTATAGCTTATCAAACTGAGTAATGGAATTTATGCTGCAAGTCACAAACAAAAAAGCCCAATCGCAAAGCTTACAACGAAGGTTTGTGGGGGACCCCCATTAAATCCTTGTTGCCAGCCAATAGTTAGTGAGGAGGAGGTAGCCTTTAGCAAAATGGGGTTTCCAGGTTTCCCGGGAGGTGAAGCTGGCCCGAGGAGCACTCTTCCGATATCAACTCCCATGGTGTTTGTCGCCTAACGAGGAAAAAAACATAAAACGCAGACTGTTAAAAAATCATTTGATAATTAAAGGTTTTTATTGGCACTGTATTGTCGTAAATTAAACGGGAAAAGGTTTATACCAAAGAAATTTGTAGTGCTGTCACACTTGTTGTAGAAGTACATGACGGCTAAACTTTTTGCAATAATTTTTCGGGTCTGAATTTACAAATCTTGGTGAAGTATAAATGTACAACGTTTTGGATAGTCAAAATGGTCGATTTCTGAACTTCAAATCAAAGTTCATGAACTCATTAAACACTAACTGAAATTGACACTACTATGGGTCTGGAAAATGTATATATCCACTAAACACATTAAACAGCAAACAATAAAAAATGCTGCAAATAAGTTCAGATGAATAATTGGAGTCAAAAAAAGTTTGTTTTGCACACCTAATACAAATTAATGCGGCTCTGAGGATCGCTTCTGATCCACACGCATACACACAGGTTCCCAAAAACCCAAGTCAGAATTTTCGCTAACACATGTTGGCATGTTTGCCTTTGAAGCAAATTTTGAAGACAGACAATCATGGCATTTAACGTTAGCAGATAGGTCATTTACTATGTAATCGCTGATGCATACTCAAAACGAATAATAAATTTAGCTTTTGCCTCTTTCTCAGCACGTTCAGTGACAGTCCCTTTCCAGTGTTAAGCAACAGTTTCCATCTCAATTAAACACTCACAAAAGTACCAGTTAGGAGATGATTGAAGATCTTTTAGCATTGTAATATTGACTTTATTGTTTTACCAGCTGTTAATAATTTCGTAAGCAACTAGCCATCATATTCTGTATTGTCCTGTATTTTAAGTTACAAAGAAGAGTTTGAGCAGAACTAACCTGACAAAAATAGCTGCCAAAATCCACTCGCCTCACAAATTCAATGCTGAGCAAAGCTCGGTAGCGTCCTGCGTGCACTCTACTAACGGAGGATTTAAACTGACCGCCTTCAACCAATGTTAAGTTTGCTGGCTCCCTAAACCACGTGACTGTTGGAGCAGGTTCTGCAGCAATCATGCAAAAGATTGAAGTAGGAGGCACTGGTGAATGAGAAGCTATTTGGGTCTGGTTAAAAGCAGTCTTAGGAGGGTCGTATGCTGGAGCTGCGCGCATCCACCTCTCGATTTGGAGAACTCGAGGAGCAACTGAAATGAGAATGCTTTGGTTTGAAATCACAACTGAATTTCAGGAATACTTCATGGATTTTCCTAACCTCCGGTTTGACCTAGGCAGCAATTTTCCACGCTTGTCATTTTGCCATATACACTACGCAAGTATTCATTATCTCGAGATTATGCCTGCTATCCTCTAACTCATTCAGTTGTGCCTTTAGTGGCAACCTCTTCATTGTAAGACACACAAAACTACCAAAACGAGAGTAAAGAGCCACCAAAATTGACACGTTGAAAATAAGTTTCAAGAAATGCACATACCTTATTAAGATTGCAAAATTTTCCACAGACATTTAATAACAGCCGAAAGCACGGCATAATATTCGATCCCACTATTAGCGATAAACCTTAATCACAATTTAAGACAAAAAATAGTACAATCACCTTTTTCATTCTATGTGCTTCGACAGGTCGTTAAGATAATTGTGATGTTGATTTCAAAAATGTTTGTCTGTGAACAATGGACACTTGCTGGTTTTTCTTAAGAGCTTGAAATGTTTGTGGCTTTATTAATGCCATTTGATGAGTAGCAAGGGTTTTGGTGTCCCATACGCAGAAAATCAGCTCTCTTTAAAGTCCCCGTTTAACACCTAAACACTAACAAAATCACTAACGTTTGAGAAATTAAAAGGTAAAATGGGAAACTTTTAATCACAGTAGGACCCCGTGAGCCTCATTAAACAAAATACACATGTTATATGTTCTTACTAATATCCCACATTGTTTCGCTTAATTTAGTGGCGACGAGTATGGACATTAACTATCGTTGTTAGTTTGGGGTTATTTTCGATATTCACTTAAGGTTAACCTAATTTCTTGTAGTATAGCTAAAAAAAGAGACTGTAGAGTGGCTGAATGTGCTAATTAAAATATGCTGGACCCAATCAGAACTTTAATGGTTTGATTTGGCATTAAATTGAAAGAAATACACTTAACGGACCTAGGTCTGGGAAACGCCTGTGAAAGTGGATGAGTAAACCAAAGGACAAAGGTTGAATCGGTGAATCGCAGAGAGCCGTGTTCCACCAAGACATTTTGAAGTGCCACACGTAACTTAGTTACTCGATGAGAGTTATGTGAGGTTCATGAGTAAGTGATACTACATTCCCATGCAGTTCTGCCGCTGCCCCTTTAAATAACCATTTAGTCCCATGTTTGTACAACATATTTGACATGAAAACGTTCCGCCAATGGTGATGACCTGGATCGCGATTAAGTAGGGCAGATACCGAATGTGCCTCGGAGAAGGTGGGAAAAATGGCAATGATTTATATTCATTCTTAGCATAATGATTTGCGTTTATTTCACACCGCAAAACAAATACTGCACTTCAGCAAACAAATTCCGTACCACGGTTTTGATTATATTTTGCTTTGCGTTTAATTTGATTAAAAGAAGTTTTTTTGAATTTCAACCATGACCAGCATACTAGCTATTTTTTGGTGGATAAATGAGCAAGTTGCCCTAAACGTGATTTCGAAATCACATATTTCGAATTTCACTTATCATAGTCGAGCAGAATCTTTTTAAAGAGAGAATTTGGTTAATTTTTGATGATCTGCCAAAAGTATTTTTTTCGCCCCATTAGTGCGTAGCAGTAACAAAAGAAACTGAGTTAAAGTAAAATGGAACGCTAATTAATCTTCACGAACCACAAAGGTTATTGTATTAGGCTTCAACTCCGAGTTAACAGAAAATAATGTGTTTACAAACCGCAATTATCGAAATCCAGTCACATTTTCTGAAAAATCATTTTGCAAGTCCCTTTTGAACGTTGAAATATTTGCTATTCTGCCTAATAATAGCCTCATAACTGACATTTTGGGTTCATAGCCTACATTCCTCTAAATAAAGTAAAATAAACTTCATTTGATGAACCCACACAAATCAATAGGAGACACCACCACATGTGCACAGCAGAAACTGAAAACTAAAGTGGACTCATCCAAAGTAGTATTCGACTAGTACAAAGGTCTAACTTTTTTCCGTTAATAAGCCCTTCATGGTCAACAACAAAAACTGGCTTCAGATAGACAGCAATCTACCTCAAACGGAATAGGTAATATTTTGCCGAAGAAAGAAAATCCAAACCTACCCATACAGCAATATGTTAATTCTACAATGTGCACAGTGCTGGTCAATACCGTTTGCTTTAGAATGGGTTGGGTTCGAAGTTTAATAATTACCGATCGGTCTTCAGAATGTGCAAACTGTCATTGCCAGCACTTAATGGATGCACAAAACATTCGCCACCATATTGTTATGACACCACATGGAAAAATTTTACAAAAACTTACAAGGGTAAATTAGATCGATAAATCGCACCACTGGGGAACCGATTCCGTTGTCAACGAAACATTCATATCGACCGACATCTCCGGGATCGACGTCAGTTATGTGAAGGGTGCTTACGAGGTGGTAGGGCTCAGGCGTGAAGCACTTTACGTAGTATTTTGCTCTTCCAGCTATAAATTCCTATAAAAAAATTCTGCATTAGAAATTAGTTGTAGAACGAGTCTTGGTAGTCGTATTTGGGCAATACTCTTGGGGTTGCTTGATGTGATTTTATCCTAAAATTCTGATTGAAAAACTAAACGATTAAGTAGTGATTTTCGTTGTTCAAATATTGGTTTTTATATTTCTACAAAGTACACCCGTTACTGCAGGTATTTTTAATCTATTTTACACAATCTGAGAGCTTCTAATTAGCTTCTTGGGTGTTAGCCACTAACTGTTAAATGAAATAGCCAAAATGTATATGCATTTTTTGCTTGTTTCATTGCTGCATTGTTTTGTTGCCAAAAATGCGGTGTTTAACAATTATCCTGGAAGATACTTTCATCAAGAAGCTACTGTATTCGCATCCACATGGCAAAAATTTAATGAAAGCTCACAGGAATAAGCATAAAAAACTATTTCTGAGGTGCTGTTGTATTTTACCAAATATCGTGGATGCAGTTTTTCTTGACGAAAGGAAAAAAAGCTAATAATATTGCATAGTTGTAAGTGGTCAAGCTTAATCAGGACAAAAACGAAATGTCTCTAATGTTAGTAGAAGAACGTGATTATTTATAGCATTGTTTTTTTTGAGTTAGCAACGCTTTCGTGTTCTTCTAATCTATTGCACTTTTTGAATGCCTAAAAGGCCGATTTCGAGGTGGACGTGACTTTTTTTTAAAATAACTCCACGAAAATCTACCTGATTGCATCTCAGGCCATTTATGAAAGGTTTCTGAAGAGTTGTTTGACTTTTGGGGGACGCGTTAGAAGAAACTTTGCTGGACATAGTAGAAGCATAGTTCTGGGCCATTGGTGTCTCATCAGTAACCCTTCGCCAGTAGACAGAGTTCGGGTTTGGAGGTGGGTTTGCTTTTACACGACATTTGAGTTCGGCCTCGTTGCCCTTGGTTGTGGCATTAATCAAAGGCTCTCCAATTAGACGAGGTGCGTCTAAAACGGGATGGTAAGCAAGGGCCATTTTTAATATAATTTTTGCTGTTGGTCTATTTACCACAATTCATATACTTGAAAAACTGATAAAGATTTATAAAGTAAACATATTTGAGATTTCGTTGAATAAACCACTGAGTTGTACAGTGGTTCCACTACCCCAGTCTAAACCGTAAAGTTAAAATGCTCTGATTAGTGTTAGCAACTATTAGATGCATCAGAACTTTTGCTTTGCCTTGAGTTTTAATACATTTGTAAGTACAGTAAGCTTTCTGGATCAAAAGTCGTGGGGTACACAATTCAAGTAACTTGCAGCTAACTTAAAGAAATGTCAACCAAAATAATTATCGAGTACTTCTGTTCGTACAGATCGATTCGTATCTCAAAGGAAGGGAGTCTCAAGGATTAAAATTTGCAAATTTACATAAATGACAGGCGTACATGTGCTAGTTTTTTACAAGGGGCATGAAACAAGAGCCATGATATTAAGGCAATGAAATGTACTTGTCGAATACTACTTCGTGATTCAAAACAAATTTTATAGATGGTCCCATATAATATGCACATAAGGACACCACATAATGATTTCGAGACTAATTTCTTATTCCATTTCACATATGTTTTAAATGAGAGTAAATGTGTTCAGCCAAGAAGTATGGAGTGAAAAAAATCATTCCACCTTATTTACCTCGCAGAAAAATGATCCGTCTTTTATTAGGTCTTGAAATGGATTTGATAAACACCCTTTTGTGTACGAACTAAATTGTAGGATACATGCATAAATTTCAAACTCCATTTGCCAAACGTGAAAAGTATACGTTTTAGCCCAGACCTGCAGAGACAATACCCTGATGCTTTCAATGACTGGTCGTGCCTGAACATTCATTAATAAAAAAAATTTTCATTTAGAACACAAATTCTGACTGCAGAGACATCTTCATGTTTATTTTGTACTAAGACATAAAATAAAATCGTTTAGTTGAATACGTAAAATTAGTCAAAATCCGCCCGGTGTCTAGTGTCTAGATGGGACTTCCCCAGAAGAGATAAAAACAGTGTGAATTTATTTTCAAAACCTTTTTTTTCATTAAAACACATCGGCGCATTCATCAGATCACTCACAAATTTAAGCAGACAAATTACTGGATCTTTTTACTTAGATTACAGAGATTTATAGTCTGGGCCAAGCACGCACGTTTCGCTTTTTTGATTGATAAAAGGCAAATGAGTACGTCGTTTCACTCTAAAAGCTTTTGATTCGGGATTTTTTATCTTCTCTGTTTGTAAAAGCCTAGTAAGTTAAACTTAAGATTGCACTTATAGGCACTAAATTCATTTTAAATGAGGTCCCTAAAATTGCCGAGGTACCAATAAGGTAAATTGCAATTAAAGTACTGAGTGATATAGCAATCCGTTTTAACTGAAATGTCAAAAAGTAACCTTGAGTTAGTTCTTGTGTGCCAGGTGTGGATATGTGAGTGTAGTCTTACTGATTTTGTAGTGAATCGTACTGATTCACGTCCAATTGTTCTATCACCGCATTCTCAGGCCCCTCACCCCCTCTCTGAATGTGAATGCTTATGAACAGGCACCCTCAACACTTACCCACCACGCATCTGTCCATTCCAGCATCTGTACATTTACCAGTTTCTTAGATTAGTCGACAACCCCAATTAGTCACTGGCGGCTTTGTAGGCATGGGTACGCGTCTCACACAAAACGGCAACAAGGCTGAAATATCGAATACACGGTTGATCTTTCCTCATCTACGGCCTTTTCAGTCCTCTGAGTGTCTGTTTAGTTTAATCGGGATCATGAAACTGGGTGTCCTTGGTGTGGTTCAAGACCCATCTCGGAGCGTCAACAATAAATAAGCGCAATGTTTCCACTTTAAAATTAGAGGGCACTTTGTTCCACCTGACATGATGAAACAAATTTCCAGTCATGGGGAAACATGAAACAGGATAATGAATTTAATTTATAAACACGCCTTCAGTTTGCAATGAACAAGGACTTGATTTAAGGCCACGGTTTTTTGTATCCGATATTTTTGGCTCATTGCTTCAAGTCATCTAAGATAAATTCATAGTTAAATAACACCGGAGAGCTTTTAGTAAAAGACTGTCAGAACCGATAAACCACCTTTGGTTCATGGTCTTCACTGGGTTCATTAAAAGGAACTAGTCCTAATGATTTGCAAAGTACTTCATAAAAGACTCCCATAGATCAAACTGGTTTCCCGTATTTAGTGAGTGAATTAAGGTTTACATTACCCATGGTCACGCTATTTAAGCGCCATCATTTGGTGCTCGACCGATAATCTCCACATTTCGATAGATTTACGTGTAATAAAGCGTGTGGCGCCACTCTTCAACCCCGCATTATCAAATTTAATGAAATCTATGCATACGCGTAACATTGAGGAAGAAAACTAGATCCGCACTGCCGACAGAATTGGTCCCCGTGATTTTATAGCTTCCCATATGCTCCACTCCGACACGAGGCAGTCTTAATTGTGCCGGTGCTCCAGACGGCAGTGACAGGCGTTCTGTGATCTCCACCCACCGGCCAAGGGTTTGGGGGTCAAATTTTCCATGAAACCACCTCGCCGATATTATTGGGGGATTGGAGGAGGGCGTGAGGTCAAGTTCTACGCTGGCACCTGGAGGATGCAAAAGAAATAGGCTATTTGGACACTATAGCTTCGGGGTCGATTTCAAGCAACCTCGACGATGCGTTGATTTAAAAGCCTGAAAGCAAAAGGCTTCCAAGGACTTGGAACACCAAAATGTGGGTCTTTATGCAGCACACGTGCAATGAAAATAAATGACACAAATGTATGTGTATTGTCCACATTGAATTAGTTAAGTGTAGACTTTATGCTTCACGTTAATTAACAAGTGACGAGTGAGCAAATATACACAGTTCATTATGTTTGAGGGGGGTTGTAATAATGGCTAGCGGAAAACCATGACTGGAAGGCAAACATGTCAAAATGTTTTTCTTCAGGTTGCATAAGTCGCAACTTTTGCTTTTGACAAAAAAGGCTGCCCCTTAGTACCATTAACATTTTATTTATCCACAAAAATTTACATGCGATTTCGGCTAAAGCGGGGAAGAATAAAAGCATTAATAATCATTCCATGATTAAAAAGAGCTTTAAAGTCACCATAGTTTGATTCGAATTAAGGAGAATTATGTTGTTAGGAAAAGGGACTAATTAAGTGAAATTAATTAGCGCGAGTAGATAGAAGATGAGCCAGCTTAGAAAACACTACAATTGGTGACTAAAATGGTTGAATAATGCTTTTATTCCGGTCAAAAATGCTACTGATGAAGTTTATTTGGTAAGACACTAATAAAATCCTAATATCTCTGACCAAACGCGTTTTCGATTTGTCATGCTGTGGTCGAATCAAAGTGGGTTCAAATTCTTGTCAAATCTGATTTTCCAATTCAGGATATATTTATGTCTGGTCCTTGAGAAAATTTTGTTTTACAAAGCTAGTAATGAGTTCTTTCTAAATGTGTTTGAGTGCAAGTGTTAGATATGTTTAAATACCAAGTACTGACCGTTTTGCAGCGCTTTCATCTTTGCAAATATTTCAATAAATGACTATATTACCGGTTTGAACATGTTAGTTCATGGAAGCATTCACGCTTTTGCAGAGGAAAAGCAGCAACTTGAGAACTAATCAGTTTACAATACGGTTTATGATGTACTCTCTTTTATAGAAACTGGAGCATTAATGCTAGTCTATGGCTAGTCCACACAGTTCATTAGATTTAAATTCGCCTGCAAGAATAGGGCCAGTCTCATTTCAGTTTTTCTATTTAAAGTGTATAAGGCAACTTTCATTCAAATTAAACTATAAAATAATAAGAATATCAGTTATGTTACCACAATGTTCGGACTTCACATGAGCCTTATGTTGACTGACAGAATGTTTCCCTTAACCTCAGAGAGTGAGAAAAGAAAAAGCGGGTATGCGAGAGAGTATCTTATTGCTAAATGGTACAGCTACGTTTCACTGTTTTGTGTCCTAACTTTTCTATTTTACGCTTAGGAATTTAGCACATAGTTTTCAGTCATCAAATTTAGCGGACAATTAAGCTAAAAAATCAAGACTTAATAATGAATATTAATTTAGCTGAAATAAAATTACTCAATTTCTGCGCGATCATTATAAATGATTTTATCTGCGCAACTGCATTAGACACGGTTACTACGCTAGAGGAATTATGTTCGGCACAACTGATGCAGCATCGGAATTTTGAAGGGCATTTTATTTCTCCTTGCTTTTTTTGGTCTTAAAAGTTTACGAAGCATGGTGGTGTTTAATTTTAGCACTAAAATAAAATAAGGGCCTACACCATTCACCGGGTTTTGGTCCACGAATATCAGCAGCCAGATTCAGTTTAAGAGAACACTATGCAAGGACAGTGAACTCTAACGAGATCTTACAAAGCCCCTGTGTCTTGTTTGAAAAGTATATTTCAGTAGATATTTATTGTATTAACGTGGCAATCGAATCACGAATTGTGTTTAATTAGGATGAGTGAATATATTATGGGCTAACTTAACGACATATAGAGAAAACCATCGCGGTATGAAATGGAACTCGCTAGTAACAGCTAAAATATGTCATTATTTTCACTCAGCTCGAACAGTCTTAAGCATAAAATAAGTATAAGTCGTTAGGGTCTCTGACGTCGCCGGACCCCAGGGACTAATTACGGAATTCAACGTATTCATAAATAATTCGTTTGTTCAGCATTCTACGGTCTCTTACTCAGTCAGTCCCAGGAGCATCCCGATGATGACAAATTTCACAGAGTCGTGGTGCATTAACCCCAAAATTTTATCCAGAAATTTAGTAAATTGCAATATGGCTTTAATTTTAATGTTGGGGAGTAACTGTTTTACCATTATTGATGTAGTTTTTCAATCATCACCATTAAAGCCACGACATTGCGTTCCCGTTTATTCTATTAATAAAATTTGTCGAAAGTGTTCTAACGTTTCAAACAGCTGCCAAATATTTTTTCCTTCTATGCCTCGCTACTTGAGGCGATGTAATAACGGAATTCAATTCACGCAAAATAAAATCAGGCATCTTTAAAGCATACAACTGATGTATGCTTTATTTAATCATACGAAAAAATAAAAAAACATATGTTTAAAAAATTATATTTTGGGACGCGCATACAGATAACAGTTCAAATTCAGTGCACCTACTTCCATGGAGACAAACCTAATCAATCATTTGTATTTTAGGGAGATCAAACAAGATCGAATTTGCCAGGACGGGTTGGTTTATTAAAGTGCGTGCTAGAAACGTAATTTTTTCCCAACGGAGAAGTGCAAGTCTATCGTTGCATGACTGTCCACCCTGTCTTGTAAACGGGATTTAATGTGTTTAGTCAGATGTAAAAAGTGTGCAAAAGTGCGAAATAACGAATGGAGTATTGAGCTGGCTTTGAGGTAATACCTGGCAATTACTGACTTCCTTTTTGGACATGTCAGAAGTACCCCCCTAAACAGGAGTTCTGATAAATGGTCCTATGAGAAACCCAACATTGTTAAGCAGGCTTGAATTTGACCAATTATTTCTAAAAGTCTAACCCTGTTAGTTGCCTAAGTAATTACGTATATTTAAATAGTTTACTGACAGTTTTGCACAATTCCCTTCTACCAAGAGTTTGTGTAACAACAAACCTGTTATTACTTCATTCTCTCGTCTTAGTGGTTGTTGGGTCAATCGTTTCGCTATTCATTTACTGGCTCATCATACTCGCTGCGTGGATACTTGATTTTTTACCACACGGAGAGAAGTGATGAGACTGTACCAATAGGATATTCATTACACTTATTACTTTATTTTATAACATATTAGTTTCAATTTCAGAATTCGTTCAATGGCATTTGCTGTGTTCTTTGTTGTTAACCTTAATGGTTTTATCTAAAAAGTCGGATTTAATGTCACGAGACATTACTTCAATCAATAACGTACTAAACACATTTTTTAGAAATGGCGCTTTGTATTGCTGATCCCAGTCAGAACGGAATCATACAAGGCATAATTACACACAGTGTGGATGACTTATAAAGCATTGAAAATTGTCCAGAAACAAATTATCCACAGGAGACGAATGCGTTGGGAATGTAATGGTGGGATAAGCAGCCATTTGTGTAGCTTCTTAATTCTATTATAGAATGCTGGAAATCCTTCCATCAAAAGTAGTGATATAAAAACGTTCACGGTGTCTTCATGAAGAATAATTGTAAACTGCTTGGCAAATCCATTAGGACATACTACGGGAACGATGTTTTTTGATTGACTAATCCTACGAATCAGCAATTTCACAGTCTTAAGACTGTCTTGCAAAAGGTTTGGTTGGCTGGGTTAGAGATAAATTATAAAGCAGGTATTTGTACCTATTGAAAACTGATATAGAAATGAAATCATAAATTAGGCTCTTATAATATAGGGGTCTTCAATTTTACAAAGTAATGTTAATTCGTGGTTTTAACACACTTAAAATGCAAAATAAACGTTTATTTAGCAAAAAATGCCAAATAGAAGGAAACAAAGCAAATATTGTTCAAGGCTGAACTGAAAAAAATACTAGATCCAAAATGATTACGGTTAGGGTCGCATTTTCACCAGTTAAATAAATAATTCAATCTACAATTACATTAACCACAGCAAAGTTCAAGGTCAATCTGTACAAGTGACTTCTGGATCCTTGCTAGTTTTATCCTGATTGAATTATTAACGTGCTTAATGATCTTTGGTAAACCATGTGAAGTTCCCTTCTGTTAAACTCTTAATTGCTGGTCTTTTAACTTTTCAGCTTTGTCATATTCAGACCGAATTCAGTGAGTTGATTACAGGGAGTGATGTGTCAATCATGATGAATCAGATACAGTTGGAGAGTTACCAAAAGCAGGCAAACTTTTGGTACGTTTTTTGGTCAGTGACATTAGAAACATTTTATGGAATTAAAAGGCGTTAAATTTGATTTAAATTCAACAAGTCTTAATGCAATCATTAAGAACGAAACATGGAGTAGTAATTTTAATTGGTGTATCGGTTGGAAGTAGGTGTATTAGACAGTCTGAATGCATAGAGGCGTTCACAAAGAAACCGGCATTTTCAAATTATAAACAGTATACCAAATTCAATATACTCAAAAATCCAACATATCTTATTACGATTTCTGACAAAAACTAGCCGCAAAACCTGTTAATGTAGAATTTACTGAAGTAAACGTAAATAAAAGTGTATAAAATGAATCAAGATTATCAAAGTATACTCTCTTTTTTGAAAAGCTTGGAAATTTATGGATACCTTCAGAACAATGTTTACATGTCAAGAATTATTGAAACAAAGATACTACTTGCAAAACATTGACCCAAACAATGAATTCATTTGGCAATTATTTCGCTTAGATTCAAAACAGTTCCTTCTAAGCTTAGAAAAAGCCTTATGACGTCACCAAATATATAGAAATATACCCTTGACTCTATCTGCAGGGTAGGTTTAAAAGATAATGTCTACAAGTGAAATTAATCTTATAAAGAGGAAACCGCTTGATACTAACCTTCCACTGTGACGTATTGAGGGAGATACTTTGAGGTGGAGGAATTCAGTTTGGAAAGCACATTTGAAAAGTTAGGCTTAAAGAGTACGTTTAAGAGAACATCATTTTTAAGCCTCGATGTTTTCTCCAGGGGTCTGGCACTCCAGTTTGGGTGCTCGTCATATTTCTCAGGACCAAGAGTGGAGCATTCCACTCGGCTCTGATGGTGGTGAGCCTGAACCAACAGGGATACCTGGCTTCTCGAAACCATTCGAGAACGTAGCAGCGGCAGTGCCTTCGCATCCCCTAGAATACCAACAAATCATTTGTTTAAATTAAAAAAAAATTATCAAAAAGATTTAAAAGCAACTAGCGCAAAGACACCTAGTAATCAAGCATATTTTCTAATAAAAAGTTGAAACTATGTAGCTGAGAGACTCATGACGCAGACAGTGGCTTCTCCTTGACGCTTTTTATTGTATATGACTGTTTTCCAGCAAATTAATAAATATATTACAATTTCATTTTATGGAGAAACACTGTTTATATTGATTATTCCTAAAATTTCAAATTTTAAGTTATATTTCAACAAAAGGTATAAGGCATTTATAATTTTTTTCCGAGTCAACTTCATATGTTATTCATATGTATTTCTTGGATTTATCCGCAAAAAAATTAAATATGAGAAGCTCCCGCATTTGCCAATTATCAACGTTTCGGAGTGACGGAGTAATTTGAAAACCGTTTGAGTCGAACATTGTCAACAGAAATCAGTATCTTGGCTTCTGATTAGCCTTGTTTTATTTTGAAATTGTAGTTTGAACAAATTAATTAGACACTACCGAAAAAAGTCTATATTCGGCATTCGGTGGTTGCTAACATATTTAAGCAGTCTTGGAAAAATTAGCGGACAAACATTATGGCTCTAAAAATTTGACCTTTTTCTCATTTTAACCGACTGCTTGCCACATTTATGATTTATTCTGTAAACCATAAACGTTTAGTTTCCCTTAGTGCATAAAATTTTGACACTTTCAGCAAGAATTCACCCTCAATTTAACATCAATCAGTAAACACAACTGTTGGACAAGAAATCAAAAATTTCTTTACATAAATCTGAAACAGTGAAACAACTGCTAGGTTGTCATTTCTTTCAGCCCTGTCAATATGAATAGTCCGTCGGTGACTGTGACTGTTTAGTTTCATCTATTGAATATGCACATGCAAATGTTGCCGGACGTAAAAAGAGGTTTGAATATATTTCGCAAGCTTATTTATATCTCACAATTTTTAGGTGACAGTTTTTATCAGCTGATATAAGGTTTTTTGCAGAACACCTAGGGCCCGATTGTTAAAAAAATGTTTATTTCTAGGCTGGAGTGGTTTTGTGTTTCTCACATGATCTCAGCCTGCATCGAAAAACATGTCCCCAAGTGTTTAAACCTGCATTAGAAGTCACTCTGGCAACCAAAAATAAATAGCAACTTATTTTATCTAGAAAATACACATTATCAGTGGTAATACTTGAAAACACATGCAAGTAAAAGAACAATATTTAGAACGTATTTTGGCAAAACTCAACTTCATTACACTGAACAAAGGCAGTAGGCTACCCTCTTAATTGGTGTGCAGTGCACCGATTGCCTCCAGGATGCCTAAACGAGAATTTATTTTTGTGCATTTGGTTTTAATTTAGCTTTGCTAGAAAAAACCATCCAGCAGTGACGGTCATATTAAAGCAGTTTATTAAACGCCCACCCAAAAATTGATCTTTTTCCTTAATGGCCTTCGATAAATTAATTAAAAAGAAAACTTGCGTATTTACAGGCTTCCTAATAGTTTATGCAGAAATTTAAGGCATGAACAAAAAGGCATGAGGGTCAACTGTAAATTAGATAGATACACGTGCGTGATAATTGGTCCTCGTAGCAGTCTAAATGTCATAGACTTGATAATTTATCTTCACTTTAATGTAAAGAAATGATAACCGCTATTCTATTTCGTGATTGTGATAATCAGTAACACTATATTGATAAGAAATTGGATCTAGAAGCGGTTCCAATACCTTACCTTTTACCAAACAAGGAATGACTAATAGAATGTGTCTTGCGGAAAATGTGGTTACCACAACCAAGATGTTTCTGCTTTACTGAAGTTAAACTTTTTGCTTTTGCTGGTAAACTGCATTTTTGTTCTTCAATTTCTCATTTTCATCCAAATTAATATTCATTTTCACGCCAAATTCTGATGCAAAGCAAAGATCCTCTGTCGCAAACGGCAGAGCTGATATTTTAATGTCTGTGAAAGAGGAGCCAGAATGCTGAAGGACATGCACTTGTAATTCGATAAGATGCCTGACGAATTTGAAATGGCCACGGAATGTAAATTTTGGACTTAAAAAAAATGATGCTTTACATTGTGATATCTGTCGTATGAAGCGTGACTGTAGTGTTTAATAAGCGAAAGCAAATCTTTCCTTTTAAAAGTCGTTATGCTTTTGAAGTTTTTCCTAAAGTATCTCAGTAAAATTGCAGTTTAAAATCATTTTTATTGACCCCGTTAGACTAAAGTTAAATTATTTGACACCAAAAACAGTTTTATATTTGAATTGGTCATTGGATGGCGAGTCGAGCTTTGCTATGAACTACCTAAAATATTGAATTAAGGTATAATTTTCAATCTTCACTGATCATTGTAAAAATAAAGTATGTTTAGATGGTGATACCTTGATTTTGGTGTCTTTTGACGTATCTGAATTGCTGTAAATGCAATAACTTTACTTTTATGTCCGATAAAGCTAAAGACGCTTGCAGGTCATGGCATAAATAACACTCTTCCTTACTCAGTCGACCGAAGTCTTTGTTGCTGTCTTAGGCCAATCTGGATACCTTAAGTTATAAAATAAAAATTTTAATGTTATTGATCTCTAGTCTTTGCAAACACTTTAACAAAAAACACAAGTAAGATAGTTGCCACATTGTCCCTAGATGGTCCCAAATTTCTTTTCGCAAACTTACCAAAATTGTTGATGATTTTACAGGGCGTTTTGCCATTCATCGAACTAGAGGGGTCGAGAAGCACACTTTGGTTTGCATCATCATTTGAACCACAGATGATCTGCCTCCATTGCAACGGAACAGGAGGATTGGCGGGACCAGCGGTGCACATTAACGACAGCAGTTCGCCTGCTGTCACTGTTATTGACTTTGGTGGGTCTCCTTCCGGAGCCTCTTGAGGTATGTTGTGAGTTTCTGTCAGACGATCGACGCGGATGTGTTGAGGGCGGAAAGTCAGGTTGACGTGAAATGCCGCGCTCGTTTGTGCCTCGGAAACAGGATAACCGGGATTCGATGAGGCACACCTAAAGAGAAAAAAGCATGAACTGAGTTTTGAGGGCTAGTGGACATACATGTTACAGCGATTAATAAATTCCCCTTCTGCTAGAACCCACGTTTCAAAAGAAACAAAATTATAGCACTAATTAAGCTTTGAGGAACATTGAGTTCTAATTTTGATTAAAAAGGAGATTACATTCAACCTGAGCGTTTATCAACAAAATATCTAGCAAAAAATTATGTTTCAAATAGAATAATAAGGTGCAGAGCATTATTGAGACTAGTTATGCTTTTACGTTGCTAGATTGTACTGATCGAGGTTTAGTCAAAATGTTCCACTGTAAAAAAGTTGCAGATGGCAATTAAACACTTGCTACATTTTAAAGTTTGTTATAGCAAGCGACTAGGACTTAATAGTTTGCTATTAATTGCAATTTTACCAAATATTCCGTTCACCCAGTTTTGCGATTTTAAAGAAAACAGATTATTATTTTACTTATCATTGCTAGCTGTAGAATATAATAAAGGAAAAGCTCAGACGTGGTCTAAAAACGTTTTTAAGTAGCTAGAAAATATGTGAAATTTGAAGGCCACCAAAGCAAAACATTTGTCGTACCTAAATAGGGACACGCTCTCAGGATAAAAAGTCTCCGTAACTAGCTTTATACACAGAATATTACTTACTTAAATGAAGAGAGGTGGTCATCAGCCGTGAGTTGAATGTCGAGATTAGAAAATATACGTTTTCCGCGTTTATCGTGTTCTGTTGTTGAAATAAGGTAAATTGGCGTGTAATCGGTGTTTTCTCGTGTGGCTAAAGGATACCAAATCAAAATGTGAATTCGCGAGCAGCTAAACTCTAAAGACTTTTCCTAACTGGTCTGTCTCACAATATACCCACAATAAAGGTTTAAACGCATAAACGTGTTAGACGTATTCTGTTCATTGAAATTTCGGTCCGTAGCCGCTTCCATAATCGGACAGGTGACCTGTCAGTAATACAAACATGCAAAATCCTTATGTACTTATAAAAAGAATTTTGATAACTTGTGTCTTCAATTGAAAACTCCTTAGTATTTAACATCACATGGGGACTAATTTATCTTATTGTTAAGTAATTAGACTAAATTCTAATAACAGAATGATTATTTAAACTCCAAATAATAGATAATTGGGATTTTGGATGACCAAAAGACATTGTCTGACTACAATTGACATTTCAGAATCAGGTACCTATGCTCAAAATGGGATTCATTTTAGAGCAGTCTTTTTACTCGATTTGAGTGAACGTGCATTTGTGCTCTCACTCATTGACCTTTTCGGATTTTAAGGGGAAGATTCATTTACGGCCATTCTGAAAAGTTATTTCAGCTATAATGTGTGATAGCGATTTATAAAGGCGTTAAACTTGAAACCTCAAATGTAAAAGACGTTGCTGAAGTTATAATTGGCCTACAACGTAGAGAAGAAAAATCAAGAAATAACTAGGTATTTAATGAAGCACCTTTCAACCAAGAGATTCTTCCGTGTGGTTCTCCATCGGTTGCCTCACATTTCAGTTTCAAAATGTCACCCTCCTCCAGGCCCTCTCTTTCCGATTCGGCCCGAATGACAGGACGTTGTGGAGCTTCTAAAACAGACGAGACAAAACTTAGTCACCATTTTTTTTCACCGTGGCGAAGTGTACTTATTTAACGACTATGGTAATATGTTTTCCTGTTTAGTTATCATATCAAAAATAAAATCTTTCTAGGCACTGGGTTCGGTTAGTAAATAAATGACTTCGTTGTATTTTAATAAATTTTGCAATGCAAATAATGGTGCTATACGTGATAATTTTACTGTAATCACGGTGATTTATTTGCCAAATATTCTGAACTTTTTATTTGCATCCGCTTGGACGACTTTATATCTCAATGTACGCATTTCCTAGTGAGCATTTCTGTTATCAGTTTATGGACACCAGAGCAAACAATTAATTAATTTAGTCATTGATCGAATTCCTATAACATGCATCTTATAATCACAATATATGTTGTACATTAATTACATTTTTTATCACTAAAACGACAGGTTAGTATACCTTGCATATTCATCGACCTGCCTCTGTCTCGTTAGATTCTTCCCTGCCATTGTAAAAGAAGTTGGATTGTGGGGTTGAAGTTTATGCTGGAGAAGACATGGTGGAGGGCCATATCAATCCCCTGCTCAATTTCTCTTGATGAATATTTGCACGCAATTCCACTTACCCAAGTTCCCTAATTACGTTCAACAATGGCTCATTTCTAGAAGAAACTGGGTTTAGTTTTGTGCATAAGCAGGGAGATGTTGATTACCATTGGGTTCTTGAGTACATTATTTTCCTAAACTAATTCGCATATATGTATTAACTTTTATCACATACGGGTTATAGTTTGTGTCGTAATATTTGTTTCGGAATTATGAATTCCTTTTACAAATTATTGATTTGAACATGAACACCTTTATGACCACCAAAAGTTTGGGAGTCAGTTCTGTTTTTAAATGTCCAAATTAGTTTTTAGGCGGATATTTTTTTTCGATTTAAAACATCACAATTTGATGATTATTCTTCACTTTGTTAGAGGTGAGACTGAGTTTGCATGGGAATCGGCTCTAAAAAGTTTACACCATATTTTAATTACATGATCCTTTACAAATCAAATTAATGCAGGTGGAATAGTTTTTAATGAGAATGACTGTCATGGCGCTGTTTAAAATTAGAATTTCGTCACTTGTGGCATAACATGCGATTACTAGATCAGCCACGAAGGTACCGAGTTGACAGAGTATCATTTACAAGATTTTCCAGCATGAATTTTATACCTTTGCCTTAGCTGATTCTAGTTTATATACGCGTGTTCAAGTTAAGAAGTTACTTCGGCTAAAATCATGCTATTGGCAAAAAAGTCACTTCAACTGCCTAAAAATTTGTTTTGCAAAGTCATTCAGGAGTAGCAACATCAGTGGCACTAGTAAATAAGTCGTTTGTAGAGGCTCAGTGCCAGCCTAATGAAATCGGAAGAAAACTTTTCATTACGCTCTTCGGCCTGTAAACTCTGTAGGCACCACGTACACACAAAGTAAGTTGGCGTAAGCTTATAAATGTCAACTCCGAGGAGAAGTGGCATGATCTCTCCCCTTCACTTATTTTTAAATAACGCTTTTTTTATTTACAGGTTGCACTCGTGGGAATAGACGAATAACAAGTCGCTTGTTTTTATGCACTTTGCCTTGCAAGGTGCAGTGGTTCCTTTACACTCCGAGCACTTTTTTTTCCGTTAACCCAATATTCTAAAACCAGCAAGAAGTAAGTTTTTTGTCAAAGATACACGTCCGCAATAATTCAGGCGTTGAAATCGGCAGCGACACATTCACACATTCAAACACCAGCTTTCCCTCGTGGTCATTTGCTTTTATTCTAAACACTACATTCAACTGGCTCAAGGACTCTTTAAGTATTAACTAGAAAGATCGGTTGGGAAAACAGGGCTGAAAGTGGACGGACTGAAGACCCATTATAAAATTTTCAAGCAATGCTTCAGTGACCTCACTGGATAAAAAATCAAGCAAATTCTGGTTTCATCGTGTAAATCCACATATCACAACTTGCAAGCCGCAAATTCCCCATAAGCCATACTATTTTCAATAGTGCTTTGAATTTTTTGGCATCAAAACCTGCTTCTACCTCACTGCTTTATCAAGCCATACGAGTTAAGTGATAATCTTTACATTTTTTAAAATGTAAATATAATTTGTTTTGTACTGGGAATTCTGGCAAGTTAAGAAATAGGCAGACTTGGTCAAAAAGAGCCATGTCAGTGCAATGTTTACTAAGAAACGGAGCTGGTTAGTTTTGACATCCGGTATATTTGGTGATCGCTCCTCTATGTTGAATGAAGCCAAAAGCCCTGGCTTAAAGGATTAAAAGATAATATTTTTGGATATTTCGTGCACTAGGTATATTCTTCGCTCCGTAATTGACTTTATGCTGTTTTTAAATGTAGGGAAATGATTTGGTAGAGGCTTCGTTACTTATTCACGACGATACACTTAATTTCATAATCCCGTATAAGTTTCAAACTTTGCTATGAAATCCAAGAAGCACTGCCTGCTGAAATAAAGCAGCATGGTCATTTTTGAAAAATGGAGCCATGGGAAAACCAGAATAAATTCATATATTTGAAGCTGCATAAAATTAAGATTTTCCTCAGGTTGTTTTATGAAAGAAAGTTTAAGAAATATGATCAAATAACTAACATGTCTAATACTTCAAATAAAAAATTAATCTTCAAAACGTTAACACATGTTCATAAGAGGTCGCCACGGTTGCTCACCGTATGATTTCAGCATGACCTGATCCACAATGTTAGTTTGTGCGTTAGGATCCGCATTGACAGACGTATACCCCCTACACTGCAGTGCCCCAATCCTCACTGAATTAGCGGGTGGCAGACGCAGTGACACCGTTTTGATGTAACTTCCACCATTAACCCCTCCTCGCTTTAGTTCCGCAATGGAGGTCAAATTGGTGAGATCGTACCAGTCCGCATCGTTAGCGGTAACAGCGCCATACCACTTTATCGTCGCGTGACCGAAGAATGGAGTTGTTGAACACGAGAAGATTTGTTTCCGCTCAGGGTGCACGTAAAGAATACGAGGAGTGGGTGAAGATGATGAGGACTGAGAAGAAGTGCATTCGTTTATTTTATCTTGTATCCCAGGTATGGTGTGCTGACCACTTCCCATCTCCTGCTTGTGAATGCAAACACCAGAAAATGTATCTAAAACATCAAAGTAATGAGTACATTGTTAAATCAAAAATCATTGGAAACTAGTTTGACAGTCTGTGGACGCGTAGTACAAATAGAACTTAGAACATGAAACCGTTTAATGCGTATTTAATGGCTGTTGAGACGCTGTAGGGAGAAGCCTCATGGTTCCTCTTTTTTCTGTTGGGAGGAAATAATGTCATCGAAATCACCGTAGCTAAACAATGTGTTGAATTACTTAGCGGTGAATGTTCGTTTCACCAGAAACATCTTAAAGCGTGGTTTGAACCGTGGTTTCAACATGAGTTTAGAGAGTACTTAATGCTTCAGTAATTCTGCACCAAAGTGTAAATAGTGATGCTACTACGCAATTTATAACGAGATATCTTTGCTAAACTAGTTACTTATTTGGTACTGCAAACTTATTTTAGACGGATTGACGCGTTTTGAGTCAAGTGTGAAAGCCAACGTTATTTTTATGTTGGTTATCAGCTTTGCAGTCAGAACAGTTTGACTACTAGAGTCTCCCTAACAGTCATTTCTGAAATTTAGAATCCCTACTGGCTAGAAGTTCAAATATTAAATAAGTAAAGTCGTTCGGGTGGCTTTAATACCACCAGCAACACTTCCCTTTACTCCTAAAACAGATAGACATCTTATTTAATTCTGTCACTAAAATACGTTTTGCTTTTTTCACGGCAGATGTAAACCAATGCCAACAACACTCTTCTCTGCTAATTCTGACTGTAAGTGTGGATTCTAAATCAAGTTTGTAGGCATGACAAATCTGCACGACTCAAGATTGTATTTGTGTTAGTTCCCTTGGCAATTTAGAGGTGTGGACGATTTATGAAAGCAGTCATTCAATTGCCATTTTAAAAAAAGAGTCGTTCTGGTTAAATGTAAAATATTACCAGGAATTATTTTTATGCAAAGTCCGTGTAAGGTAGCTTTCTAAAATCCAAATTTATGCCAGAAAATATGTTGCGTGTTAATAAGAATGGCAAGTGGGATATTATGACCAAAAGATTTATTTGTTTTAACTAATCAGCCATGTTTTAATTGACAACAGGTCAGGCGTTATGACCATGTTAAAAAAATGGCATTTGATAGGGGATTAGACAGGAAATGTTAAGTATAAATTGGCTGCCACTTCTAAACAAGATGGTAAACATTGATAAAACGTGAACCAATGATATTAAATCAGAAGGCCTAAATGGCCTGTTATCTGGAATAGGATACAGGTTTGGGTTTGGCCAAGATATCGGACCGTATTTGGCAGACTAATGCACCGCAGTTCTTACGTCTGAATGACTTCACTGAGGATTCTTTAAGCGACGTTTCAAAGAAATTGGGCTCAAATTCATTTGGGTCTAGCTTGCGATCAAAATAACTGCGAACAGATTATGTCTCACCACCGTCAAACAGAGGAAAGCATTTAACAGATTAGTACGAGGCTACTATGTCAGTTACTGATCGCCGATCGGTTTAACTTTGCACAAACTGTCACAAATCAAGATTCCAATGGAGGGATGTTTTGTTACTACGTGTTTTAAAAAGAGAAAGAATGTGGTGAGTAGGGACGACTGAGCAATGCCGCGAGTCAGGCAAGATCTTCATTCCCTAATGCTGTGATTCGCATGTGGAGGGATTTTGAGAATCATGCACAAAAATAATCCAAAAGTCTCACCACCTTGTTCAATTGTTACGCTTAAACGAGGTTACCCAATCGAAGGAATTTCCTTGTGAAGAAAAAGTGCCTCCGCAACCTGATAGCAGTTAGCTGCATATTTAACAACTCGCTACGTTAAATATCCTTAAGATATATTTGGAGGATTTAAAGTCTCTAAAAGGAAACTACGTTTTGGGCCTGAGTTCGAAGCTTGCGGATCTCCTTTATTGACGTGACAAATACTAGGTGAGCCAAGTTTGAAAACGTAATCTTCTGTGTAATAATTCATGCAATTTCTACATGTACTAGACTAAAATTATCTAGGAGGCTACGACGCTTCTTATGTATGTGAATGCAGAGGAACGTTTCCGTTGTTCTATTACCTATGAGATGACATCAGATTTTCAGTTAGATGCAAACCTTAGATATATGTGTGAAGTTTTATAGCAACATTTGTCAGTAACTTAATTTTTGGAGAAAACCATTGCCATAAAAAGTCTTAGAAGCCATCAGATGTCTTTGCCTTAAAGTCGGATGCATTGATATTATTTGTTTACCAAGGTAAATGTTGATTTAACGAATATCATGTTTAGCCTTCAACCAAAGCATTACACATCACTTCCACACGGCGTCAATGTTTACTCAGCGTTTTAAAAGTAGAGTTACTTACTATCACCCAAAAGAAACTGGGGGTTGTAATCTGCAGAGTTTAAACTTTTAACCTTGCTGTTAATCGCTTCAATTTTTTTTCAATTTACACCTTTTCTAGAGGTAGACGCCAATGAGTTTTGTAATTGCACCCCTTGTTAACCATCCTAGTTATGTAAGAAAATTTTCGTCGTTCTAGAAACAAAATCAATCCGACTTCTGATTGGGATTTTGCTTTTTTTGCTATGAGGACATTATACCCGAACTGATACTCGTCAATTGCAAATAGCATTTTTTTTCATTGGCACAACAGTCATGTGTAATAGTTACTTTGGCACGTTGGTAAAATAGAAAAAAAGGTAAAACCAGAAGTGCAAATGAATAAATAATTCGTTGAAGTGAAGAGTTCAGTGCTGTGGTGCCTGTAAAATCATTTGGTTACATCGCCAATTATTTTTAACAACCATGACGATGGTTTAGTCGGCGTCATAGAAGGTTTATGTCTTGCCATCCACCGTCTACTTACTCCTCCCAGAGCACCGCTGTGGTTGCAGTTGTCACCCATAAACCAGTCACCCACAGCTGCCATCGTCAAGATGAGTGGGCGCAAAACTGCAACACGTCGAACGCCACGGGGAGAGGTCATGTCGTTGTGAGGGGTTAAGGACAGGGAACTTATCCAATCAACCACGAGGTGCAATAAATCCCACCATAAAACTATGCGGACTGTCACAAGATTTAGAGAAACCCTTATAAAACAAGCTCTTAAGGTTACGTAACTGGTGCTATGGGCATTAAAAGTGGGTTCGACCGATTGGTAGTTTCATAATAGCAGAGTGGTTCGGTACAACTCTCTATCCAAATAATTGACTTTTCTCAATTGAAACTTTCCATATATTCTCCAATACCTAGGGAAATAAAATAGAATACCCAGGGTCTATTGATTGATAAAACTGGCTAGAGCTCACTTCTGTGAAGCAAGCAACTATTGAAAAACACCACGACCACACCCACCACCATCGTTTCTCCGTTACACTCAACACCATTCGCCCTTGGAAGTCAGACACGTGTCTCTGCAATTTAAGTTCCCTACTTGTGCGGCATGTAGGTTAAGGTCAAAACGTACAACTACGCCATCTTCTACTTTAAGTCTTTGCCCCCAAGAACGTCAAGGTCAGTAATCCCTCGTTTAAATTCAGTATTTGAAATTTATCAAACCTCAAAGTAAGCTCGCTAAGCCCTAGCTCGAACGTCATTTAAGTCACAAATGTTGTAAATAAATTTATTATCAGCTAATATAAACATTACAAAGGACAGACATGAACAAAATGAATTATGCCAACATGAAGGCTCCTTGGAGTTACGCATAAATTAATATCCTAAAAATCATTTGACTTTACGCAAACACCTTAACGATTAAATTTTTGTTGCGATTTCTACGTTTTGATTAATTTCAAGATATTGCTTGTTACACCAGACAAGATATGACTGTTTCCGCACAAATTGCCAAATTTGGGCCGTAAAAGTACTTTCGACTAAAAAAGTATTCACGTGCATCCTACATATCAAACAGGCTAATTTTAGTATCAACGCATTGGCTACTACTAGTAAGTAGAATCCTGTCAAAAAAGAACTTGTTTTCTGACACCTGATAATCCATTGTCAAGCTTCATTTTAGCACTGTTTTCCCAATAACCCACTTCAACGCTCACTCAGTACTCTGTCTTGTGTTTCATTTTGAAAAAAAATTAAATTCACTCGTGCTAAAATGCCTCACTATTACAAACTTTCTACAACATTTAACTTTGTGGGCATTTGATGGCCGCATTTGCTTCTATGAATGAAGCAAGTTAAATTTCCATAAACTCTATATTCCTTACTTGCAAAATTGAACTATTTCTAACTTAAAGTTTTGTTTACTCATCCGTTTTTTTTTTGAAAATTTTGTCCTCACCAAAAGGTTTTCCATTAAAGTGTCAAGAAGGATCTGGGTAGATGTGGATTTGCAAATTGATAATGGATATCAAAGACTCGCAGTGATTTCGACTCAAACGAGGTCCAGTTTAGCTCCCAGTTAATGATGTAAAAGTTAATCCAAGCTTATCGCCTTGTTTTTGCATTACGCGAGGTTATTCAATGAAGCCAGAAATGTGGTGACTTGCTAAGTTTGAAATTTGATCTGGAACCATCGTAGTTGATCCTCACTGTTGCTTTAACCCCATGTGTTCTAAATACCCTTTCCACTTGTCGCTACGTCTGAAACTGCAACCACATACATCATCTTGTATCCTGTGGTCACTTTGACCGGTTGCACACACTTTTCTTATTTTCATTATTAAGATCATAATTTTGTCCAAGTCAACCTGAGACCTTATAAAAGCGTTCCAAGTTTTATGGAAGAGGGCCGTAAGAACATAGTTTCCCATTCAACTTGCAGGCGATTGATCCCAGAATAAAACATGCTGGAGGATTGTAAATTATGATAGGTCCTTATAAATCATAGTGATTATATCAGCCACTGCGTTAAATTGGCGTTTGTACACTTATTCAAATACTGAATACAGCAGTGTTAGGGTGTTTCCTCTCAGCTCCGATGTGGTTGCCTGCATGATTCCCATAATGACTAATTTGATCGATTTTTTACCTATAGCTTCTGGTTGATATTTCTGACTTACGGTAACTAAAATTGCGCATCAGAAAGAAGACTAAGAATTTTTACTAGCTACATTTAGACATTCATGGACATTTTCCAACGTAGATTTAGTCGTATGGATTTTACATCTATTCACACCCTGCGATGTTTAGGTCAATGTCAAGCCTTCGTAAAACATTTAGTTTATCCATCTAGCTATTGTTGTTATACAACTGTAGCATAAAGAATTGTATAAATGTCCCTTGCTTAGCAAATTTCATCAAAGGGAAACGATGTAAGCAACACAGTTAACAACTCACATTTGACATTAAGCAAGATTTTTGCCTTTTGCTCCATTCCGAGCATGTGCCTTGTAATGCAGACGATGTAGAGACCATTTTGAGCCCGCTTAACCCCGGGCAAATTTAGCTGACTCTCAAGCTGATTCCGATCCGAGTTTTGTCGCGAGTACTGCTCAAGACTTGGCAGTTTGGCCAGTTCAGTAGTACTAGAAAAGGCAGCTGTAGGATCACCGGCATTATTTTGAAAGGGGCTTTGGGACAGGGAGGAGGTGTGCTCCCAGCGCCAAATCAATTCGCCAGGGGGTGAACCAGGAGGCTTTGATTGGCATGTCAGCGTCACAATGTCACCCTCATTTTTTACCATTGAATCCACTATATGTCCTTCCGGCGAGAGAATGACAGGGGCTCCCGGTGGGGCTGAAATATGAACAACTTGAATTCCTGAACCGTTTCAAGAGATGAAGCTGTGTCATAAAAACGTAAAGCAAAAATAGTTGCCCATGTGATAAAATGGTTCACTTTCAAAGACCTGTCTACTATGACTATTACAAGTATCTTCAAGTACAACCCTCACCTATTTAAAATGAGACTATAATCTGAGCACCTGTTTGTGATGACATAATTTCGACAAATGACCCTAACCAAATCCAATGATCCCATGTTGAGAGGTTTTCATGGACAAGGCCCCTATTACGAAACATAAAGGCATGGTGCTGATTAAAATTAACACCTCAGCCGACCGATGCATCCACGCACACAAATTCGTTTACCCGACACGGGAATAACTTTAAAACTTGTTGTCGTTGTCAACGAAAGGTATTTTTCCAAGATATTCGAGCAAATTAAGCAAAAAGCAGTTAGAATTTTAGCATCACGGTAAATACCAGTGGTGTAGGCCATTATACTGTGAATCCTTATGGTGAAATTGTTATTTAGGTCAACCAAAAGCAGCACAAAATAGGTATACTATGGAATTAGGTTATAGGGATGATGTCTTTAATTTATGACATTTTCGCACAGTACCGAATAGGCACTGTGCTTTGCCGCTCATTAATATCTAGGTTTATCTGAGTTTTGTCAACACGAAAACACAGTTCTGTTTTATGAACATTGGAATCACAAAAACTATGATCTGTTTTCCTTGACCTTTACTTAACAATGGATTATGGACTTTAGAGCTTAAAGGAGTTTTTTAATGGTTTATAAACGCCTTACAAAATCAGAAACTAACCTATGTTATGTCCCGATTAGCCCAAAATGAAAAAAACTTCTCGCAAGGCTATTTTTTGATCAAAATCGTTTTCATGACCAAAGCCCTTTGCATGAAAGCTAACGTGATTACAACATGATATTTGCACTTGCATTATTTTAATTCACACATTGAATACCTACCTTGAAGTTAATGACTACATGAAGATAGGTATTGGGTGAGGTGTTACTGCTAGATGTTGTCTTTGTAGTAGCAGGAGTCTGTTATCACATTTCACCAATTCCAAATTTAACATCCCAGTTAGGAAAAACAAAATACAGTAGAGATTTCTAAAAACCAATAGTCTACACACTGATGCAAAAAAATATCAACGCAAAACCACGCCAATGGAAAGCTAACATACATCAAACAACGGGATGGTCATCTTAGCGCATCACGTCGTCACGACACATTCATTAAGCTTGATTTTGTTATTTGAGTTTTGTTTCAGTTTAAGATAATTGCATTCACGAGACCAGGTGTTAACTTATATTCAATGGTATACCAAGTTCACTGCCTCAATAGAGCTACTAAATTTTGGAAAAATGGATTTACCTTAGATTTTTGTAACCCGAAAAAGAACTGAGTCAAGTATATTGAGTTTTTTTTCTGGTCTGTACTAAATGGGCTGTTTAAAAGTAATGCTTCTATAAAGACTTTGTAAACGTTCATTTTCAATGGAAGAATTTAACTTACTAAACTAGGCAAAACTTTGTTAAATGTGATTTCCTTTTTGAAACCTTTTACGGCATTTATTGCCACCTATATCAGATTGGCAGAGTACTAACAGAGTGAGCACTAACATGAGCGAAAGGTGGTTATAGCGGGGCTTAATGCTTTTCTGTTTAGTCAACTTATTGGATGTGGGAGCACTAATCACTTGGATATTATAAACTAAAAATGCAAATCGGAATTCTTGCAACACTTTTTTGAAGATTTACATGTTATGTTCTTTATTACAATGCTATGGACCCTAGCTTATTTTTTGTCTGTAATGTAGAGGAATTGATAGCGATTATTCAGTGAAAATCGTTCGTGAGATATTTAATAATAGGTTCATTCAAAAAATTGGTCATCATGAATGTCATTTGTGTATAGTTTTCTAAGGCAATGGGATCTAGTTGTCTTGGCCTAGATTTCAATGCAACTCACTTTTTGGAACTCGGTTACAAATGTGCAGTTTTGTATTGTATAAACTTTTGAAAAACTTGAAAATCATGCTAAATCCAGTTGAGACAGAACGCTGTTGGAATCTCATTCCAAATAGAGTGAGAAAATAATTAAGGTGCTTGTTGAGAGATTTGAACGATATTTTCATTTTAGCCATCCTGATGAACAAGTGATTACTTTTCCATATCTGTTACAAAATCCATGTATAATGCCAATGTTAAAGCTAGGTAGCTTTTATGGATATTTCCAGATTTTACAGAACAATAAATTTAAAATAAACTAGGCAGGGTTTTTTAGGATGTAAATTCGATTCACTTCTGAGGCAAGTCTTGAAACGGAATTTTGTTCACTGCAACAATGGCTGGCTTGACACTGCGTAGAGGTTTAACCTGAAAAGTCAGTTACAGAAATATTTACCCACCGCTGTTTAATTGGCGCCACCTGAATTTCAATTTGATGACCCACTTTAATGACGCGGTGTGTAATTTACTTCTATTAAATATCAGATAAAACCTGACCAGCGATTAGCTGTACTAAATTGATCGCAATGGAAATTTTAAATAATACTATTCACGCACCAAAATTGAAACCCATAAGTTAGTTCTGTCACTGACTTAACTCTTTTTTAGGAAAATTGCAAATTGTTTTGTTGAATGTCCTTTCAGGTGCATCTGACTAAAATCTTCTTCTTAAGATGTAACCTGGTGGGGATAATATTTCTAGTCACATTCGGATTATGACTGAACTAAAATAAATTACGATTGAATTTATGCAAACAGATTGTTTTGTGGCTTCGGGAATATCGATGACTCACGATATTAAAAAGCATTTATATAGAAAGCCGGAAGTGACGCAGCAAGTTGATTTTTGGGTTTCCTAAATGCGTGTCAGGTGACAAACCAGGACTCATCAAAGCTGCTAAATTCGCACAAAATAGCTAAACTCAAAAAATTGCACTTATTCTGAAACATCAATGCCAAACTGAATGGAGACTTGTATATTGAGCTCAAAAGTAGTGAATTCATAAATGCTCTAAAAGTTTATCTGTTAAAGAATCAATAATGTGAGACAGGATTCCAGAAGCGCAACGAAGAGTAGCCATGCGAGTGAAGGCATACTTGAAACATAAAAAAATAGTTAATTAACCTATTTAGTGGAGAATAATAGGTGATTGTAACGATATCATTTGCATCAATTTTTGACCACATGTTGACTGCATTTATGTTCCAAAGATAAATGTTTGATACAAGGTATTATTTGAATGCTAAAGTCTCTTTTCGCTGCGTAGGAAGTGCTACCATTGACGTAGGTCCAAATTTATTTAATATGCCCAACTTTAGTTTTGCGTGTTTAGTAACGAATATGAAAGATATGCTTACTTTGGACAGTTACAATGATTTCGGCGAGTAGTTTTTGTTGTCCAAGGTTCGCAGCTCGTTGGGTGGCCTTGTTACTGACGAGACAGGTGAGTCGATCGCCAGTGATTAAATCAGACTTTGGTATAACCAACGTAGCCTCGCCATCTCCTCCTCCACTGGAGGCAAAGGAATCCGCGCTGCGCGTTTCCTTACCTTCCATATAACTGTTCCGAACGGGCATTCCATTATGAAACCACTCAAACGAGGGTGCGGGAACGCCACCTCGAGCTTGGCAGATTAACCACAACTTGTCATTAGCGTTTGAAGGGTCTTTGGAAAGACCTTCACTAGAATATCCGGGTCGAGATATAACGAGTTGGCCATTTTTTGTGGGCTGAGGATCGCCAGGTGGTGCAAGAATTACGGGCTTTGAAGGCACAACTAAATATTGTGAGTAAGCACGTGTAAGTGAACATCAAAACGGTCTCTGGTGCATCATCAAGTAATGTCCCTTAACTTGAAATTATTTCAAGTTAATTAGGTTTTGAAGGTAATTTAAAAATTTGAAATTCTACACTAAACACTTTTCTTATGTAAATCTTTGTTATATAGCAACACTTTGCAATGAGTATTAATTATTTTGTTGTAACTGAGTCCTGCATTAGGAAATCGGTTAGTGAATTTCCAATGACCTTCCAAAATTCTTTTTTGCTTGTATCGATTCGATGTTGTTCTATAAATATGTCCTGTCAAAGTATTAGTAGCTTAGAAAATGCTACGCAACCTTTGATTTCGGCACTTTCCAAAAAATTATCTTGGTGGTTAATTTCCCCAACTTCACTTTTTGAAATGGCCAGTCAGGCACTTGATACTGAAATGAGTGTGTAACCGATTTTGTGAATTCTCTTGATATTCCAACATCATTTTTATGGTGCACGATTTAAAAGGCCTAACTATTAGTTAGCTTCAGGTTTGCACAATTAACAATTACTTCTTGTATAACCAAAAGAATTTTAATATACATGCTAATTTTGTAAAATATTTTTATAGTTTCAAGATTTCAAAATTTGAAATTCGATGCTAAATTAGGGCATATACTATATCTGATTGGCGTCATCTACAGATCTTGAAGTTAAAACTTATGGTCGTGAACATACACTATTAAACTCTAAAGTTTCCAACATTAATTTATGCAAATCAGCTTAAATAGTGGCCACAGTTTGCGATTACATATCAATTTTTGCATCATAATGCACGTAACAAGGCTCTCAAAGCTGACAGCGAAACAACATTTAAGGCAAGTTGTTACACCGAAACTCCTAGGGCTGCGAATGAAGTATGTAAGCTTGTAACTCTACCTCGTTAGAGAATGGGGGGTAATCGAAACGGACCAATAAAAAGGTAATCCAGACAATGCGATGTTTATTATATAAATCACCACTGTTCAGTCTACATCACCTTCAAGTTGTTAATGCCAAATTTTACGTTGCTATGGCTACTAATGCTATACCTTTTGGCGTCATCTTACCGATTCGCACCTACTCTTTACTGCTCCTTTTTTTAAATATTTGTGTTTAATTTATACAAATATGAAGAAACGCACCTGGTCTGAACACTAGATTTACTTGTTTATAGGCCGATATTTACCTCTTTTACATTTTTGGACACTTTGGACGGTAAGTTAAAAAAAGTTACTAAACGTTGTTCACCATTAGAAGGTGGTCTAGAATATCTTCATAATTTACACAAAGTGATGTAGACCAAGATCGAAAGTAATGCACAGGCTTATTTGTGCAGATTTTTAACCTACCCTAATGTTGACTTAAACACTCAATGCTTAGCCTCTACCTAGATTATAATGAAGGCAACTGCTTCTTTCCCGATCTTAATGCTGACTATTAAAGGACTGGAAAGACATTACTTGGAGATCTAAATTTTGAGAAATTTTTTTTCTACATTGATGCAAGCACAACATAAAATTCATGTTAATAAGTTCTAAGAATAACCTTAGGCATTTGAATAATTATTTGCATTTTTGTCATAATTTAGCCAGTATATGTCGCGAAGTGAACTCCAGGCAATAAAAGTGCTTCCAAGTAAGTTGTGCCAACGACGTACCGAGGACGGAGAGATTCGTACTTCGTCGTAACAAAGGCTGGTTGGCTGTAGGTGTGACCTGACACTCAAAGATCCCAGCGTCTTCACTGGAAACACTGGATATGAACAAATCATGCTCTCCAGCGTCTGGATTGCCCTGCATAGAATATTTTGGCCAATTTCGAAGTTCCCTATCATATCCTAAAGTGCAGAAATGGAATTTACTGTGAACCGATTATTCCAGGAAGTATACATAAAACACTTCAAGATAGTAGGATCGATATTGTGTAGCAGCTAGACATTGGAAAATTAAAAGAGTACAAAATATCAGTGAGATATAATGATCAATCGTTTGATCTTGAATTTGGGCATTAATGTTGGAAACTGTGGTCCCAAAAGGGGACTGTAAATTTCGTCTTTGTCGCTGATAGCTTAAAGCAGATTTGTTATTCGCGGTGTTATTTAATGCGGAGCATTATATTTTAACTTCGTTACACAAAAAAAGTTGACTATAACACTGTTCTTTCTCAAGGAACATTAAAATTTATATGAAAAATTCCATGAATAGGTTCTCACAATGCAACTTAAACCAATTTCTGTTTCTGAGTTTTCTTGCATTGGGTCAAATATTTTTGACAGTATTTTTGGTCCAATTCCGCTTCTGATAGTTTTAAAATATTCCTTAACCATGCTCGTAGTATTCACACTTTGTTACAGGTTTTAAGCTATATTTAACCTAATAAAAAATATATTTACTTTTTTTTTATTCCCAGAATACAGAGTAATTGTGTGACTTCTTAGTTGCATGGGTATTGCATAATAAAACAAGCAACAACATTAGCAAAACGAAACTGGTGAGTTTACTACAAGAGTGCCATTTGTTTTAAATAGGCGCTGCTTGCAATGCATACCAGTTCCAACTGACCTGTAGATTGCTTAAATGTGCTACTGAGAAGACTAATTGCACAGCAAAACTGGAGTCGTGAATGTACGTTGGTTGAGCTTGCTGTTTTGAATTCAGAATATAAAGAATTAAATTTAGGTGCGTCTGCTTATTGTACTTGATGTGCACAGACCGATCCCTTATATTCAGTCGTCTGTTGTGCTACCACTTTTATAAAAAAACGATTGTTTATCGTTCTTAAAACACCTGACATATTGAACTAAAGGAAGGTAAAATTACTATGAAAGACCACTCAGTTATACCTATAGGTAATTGTACTGCTTACACTGATTGCGCTGGCGAGCGTGTTCATATCATTATCAAGCAACGCGTTTCCAGTTAAAACTGTTGTGTAGGTTGTGTGCCGCCCTACTTTGTTTGCGTGCATTAAAACATCATTTGATTACATGTCTTTTTTAGTAAAACAGGAGAACATCAAGTGAAAAAAAAGTTTGCGCAAATTTGGAAGTCAGTTTTCCTACCAAGTTGGTTTATTAGCACCCATTGAAACTTTAGTCCCTTCAAATTCTTTTTATTCACGATCACCGACATGTTGCTGCTGATGTTTCTTCTGGAATGTTTAAGGCAGCTTTCCTTTTTACGGCTTTGTTTATGTACAATTCTGCAGCCATTGACTTGAAAAAATCCTTTTTTTCTAAGACACTTTCCTTTAGGGAGGTTTGTTTTATGGTTATTTATTTTTTGTAGTTACTCGTATCATGGACCGTTACTCATGCTAAATTTCTCGGACTCATATCCAAAATCTGCTACTTTGATTTGACTCCACCATTATTGTGTAAACGAAATTCAATTTATTTATTCTTATTTGCAGAGTTAATGTAAAATAAAAGGAATAAAATGTGAAGCAATGCAGGTTTTAATGAATATTAGTCCATATTGTGAGTATTAAGGATTTAAAAATACTTTCGCAAAGAGGTGGGTGGGTAGAAATAGAATATTAGTGTTTTCAGCGATTTCTGCAACATTTTTTTAAAATTTCTATCTTCTATTTCTTAGAGATACGCTTTCCCAAAAATATTTACAGTTAACAACCCAGCAATAAAAGTAGTCGTAATTTTTTGCTTATTATGAATCACGATAATGTTTTAACTTGAAGGTTTGGTGACCTACAACTGTTGAGGCGATAAAGTGTCAAACCTGTGTGAGCGTATAAGGAAAATGTCAAATTTAAATCTTGTTTCCCACACAGTGACTTTTTACTATTTTCTCATTCCCACTTGTTCACACACTCAAAACTTCAATTCGAAATACTCAGACCTGTGTGAATTTAATTCTTCATAACTTCGATTGTATTTATGATCCATCGGTTGGCTTATCTAAATTTAAACCCGATTTAATCAGGTAAAATTAAAATGCATAGTTATCTTTCTCAAAAATTTGCACAACACCTAACTTAATGCCTTTAGCATTAGTTGATGTTTCGATGCTGCAGAGTCTAAAAGTCTAGAGCTGTAGTAAATTGGTCTTCGTACATCCAACAGTTTAATAAAGTGCATAAAAATTTTCGCAGTTTAATAGCGTTTCAATTAGTGATTTTAAGACTTCAAAATCCAATCTGCTAGCTATTTATGACATGTTGCGCAGTATGTGAACATAATGTGATATCCTGGTAGCTGCAAAAGCAAAAATGATGAACAGCAACTTTCCCTGGTTATTTTTGTTATCTACTACAGTTTACAATCACACAAAATGCCAAAGACCTACTCAAAGATTTACCGAATAGATTTTACACTCTAGTATTGGCTTACTTTGGCTTAAACTTATTTAATCAACGGCAACTTCAGGACCTAAATACCAAACTTATGAACTCTTACTAAACTGGGGATGCTGAAAAGGAAGCACCATAACAGGGCTTTCACTTCCTGCCCACTTCCCGCTCCTGCTTCCTATTACGACTAGTAAAATATACTGATTGTAAGCATTCTTCTACATTAAATTGTTAGGGTTTTGGCGTTAGGCGTTTCTGATGACTGGTTTTATTATCATGAAATACGAAAACCCATTGCAAGGCTCTTGTAAATAATGGCTTTGATTTTAGAGAAGCAAAATCTATTTGAAAACGCGGCTGAATTCTTAGTATTTACCCAATTTTCGGTAAAAGATAAAGAAACGCTTCCACAAATTTGGATAAAAATGTAATTTGTCATTTTAAAAATGTCATGACTTTAAAAATCCTCTTACTAAAAAATTGCAACCCACACGAGATTTGACCTTACCGCAATTTCTAGCACTAATCCTTCTTTTTAATAAATACATCCGTAAAATGCGATAACGGGACAAGTCGTCTATTTACAAGTGGCCCAGCTGCAGACCTGTTCATTATTTTTCTAAGGTCCATGCCCTGCGGGCGAGTGATTATTTGCAGTTCAGCTTAAAAATGAATATCAGCAATAGGAGCATAAATACCGGGATATCTCTAGTTCATTTCTCAAAGGTGCCTTAGCATTTCAACAAAATCGTAGTTATTTAACAAGAGACCTGTAATTTTTTCGCATTCTAGAGTGTGGAACCTAAGAACACATGCATTATGATATACACCGAAAGTCTAATATTGAGCTTACATGGCGCGAAAATTCCGATCTAAATTCTTAATATGGTCATTTTAGTATGGCAAGATCTTCCTTCATAACTTTTTTGGAGTAACTTGAGTAACTAAATGCAAGCATAAACACTAATTTGTATACCCATCAGGTGTAAAACTTACAATGCAGACATTTTGCTTCGTGCCGAATAAAATATGAAGATCTACTGCCTTGAACTTCATTTCAGTTATCCCAACCCCTCTTTTCTACTGTGGGTTAAATTCTTCGTTTGTAGTTTATTAACTTCACGAATGAGGACTACGTGTTTAGTCCAAACGCGGATTGCAAAACCCTTAAATTAAATTTTGTTCTGGAGATTTAACCTAATAAAAAAGCAAGGAATGCGAAAACATGCTGATTACAGGACGTGGAAATTGTTTTTGTAAAAGCTTTCCTTTGCAACCAGGTTTGTATTGGACTTACCGTAAGAATAATGCATGATTTGTGTTTCGAACGAAAACAGGTGAGGAACAGGTGCCTGATGTATTTCCCGCAACCCTTTGTGTGCACACAAAATTGTGAGCATATTCCAACTCACCAAGAAGAGTATTGTGAGCTCTCCACTGAGCTTTGCCTTGCTGCCGTGAGACGCGACACCGCATTCGCACTGGAGACCCCTCGAGAATCTCATATCGATCGGCTGGCAGCTCTGAAAAACATTGCCGCTGAAGTTGCTCGTCGACGGGAGAGCAGACGGAGGATTGAAAGACCTCTATTGCGGCAACTGAATCCCCTGAGTTCGGTGCAAATATCAGGCTACGAAGACTCTCTACATCATCGTTGTTTTGGTCAATGGTGTTTAGGACAGTCGAGAGGGCAAAAAGAAATGGACAGAAAAATGGAAGTAGGATTAGTTCCTGTGGACGCATACCGGCGACCGATTGCAGATATTTTTAAGTCAATGTGATTTCTGTTAGGATCTCCACATCGCTTGGTTTTGCATGATGAAAGTAGGTTAGGCGTTGAAAGTGAGCTTAAGCAAGGTTAGTTGGGAGTGCGACTGAGCGCAAGCGTGCATGGCTGAACGCGCTTTCTCCCACGCATGCCCCAGATTGGTGGTGGGTGAGTGGTGCTCAGCCTAAACGAATGAGGTCATCGGTAAATATCCTGCTGTGAATTGCCTCTGAGGGCTAGCCACACCATGGTCTTTTGTACCGCTCTAACTTTTCAACGTTCCCACGTGCTCCCTTTCTTGAGAAATTATGTGAATTATTTAAAATAAAAAGTGATACTACGATAACTTATGGCTAACTAATACCCCATGGCAACTGAATCAATTAATTAAACATTTCCTGACATAACAATCCGGTTAAATGACATCTTTTTAAAGTAAGGGCTGTTTAATTGCATGTCGTGTTTACGTACTATTCGTAGATTTTCTTGCATGTTTTTACTGTGTTGATTGATTTAGCACCTGCAGAAAATTAAATTGGATAATATGGCCTCTAAATAAGCTGCATATCTTCCCTATACGCCATTGCCAACATAAATGCTGTTTACTATGAGAAAACATGAGGATGAATTAATACGGTTTCGCTTTACCTAGTGAAACACAATCATCCATACATTATCAAGTAAGATGTTTCATTTCTAATTTGCAAGTGGATGCCATCTCCATCAGACTGAAGCGGCCACTTCTTGGGCCTTTCTGAATTAGTTGCATTGAGGTGTTATCATTAATCTATCGAAAATGGTCAGCTGACATAGAAACACTTTGTGATGGAAGAATTATGCATGAAAATTCATTCAAATATAAAACGTGTACACTTGAAATCATTTTCCTAATATTTACCAAATAACTAAATTATGGAGCACGGTCAAAAGGCTTTAACCGAATCGCTTAATTTCATAAATTAACGGGACACCCAAGAAAACTCAATAAATAATTTATATGTCATCAGTCTGTCTACCGTCTATCAAGGGCGTCACCGTGTCCCATTCACGATTCTTTTGTTACTATGTAGCCACCACATTGTGAGGTTGATCATTAGAATAGTACCTGCTTCCTCAGCACAAACAAGCAACGGTGTGAGTTCATCTTGTAATCAGAATAGTAGTCAAGGTAAATGAATAAAGCGGTGAAACGCGTACACACTAGGCCATCATTGTTGCCAGTAGTTAACGGCTGACTCCTGCTTGCTAGCCCGATCCCCACCCCACCCCCCTCTGTCGGGGTGTCCATGCAGTCCCGTCGTCTAGGCACAGCAGCTGGTTCAAGCGACAGTTGCGATGATGTCTCAAACACGTTTTCAATGCCATCTGATGGAAACGTTGTACGAGCGGTTTTAGTGCGGTCCTAACATCGAAACGGCTAGTGTGCTGATTTACTTCTTTGGATATTCTTCAAATTCAGTTTTTTGATATCATTTGATCTACCATTTCTTTTAGATCTGTGTTGCTTGAAGAATGGTGAGTTTATTACCGTCTTGAAGTTTAAGCAGCCGTTACATATTTCCGATGGTAAGACTTTCTTTACTAGTACCATCAAAATATATTAAATGTCTTTTAAATAGCACCAAAACAGATCTTTGGTCCATTAAGCATCGATCAAGAGGTTAAGTCATCGTAAACATTTGCAGAGTAGTTTATCATCTCGAAGCACGATACCACACAGTGTTTAATCAATCTGCATGCATCTGGTGTACAGAGTCTGGTAAACAAATCAATAGTTTAAACTGGATTGCCCCAAGTTTAAATAGTGTTACATAAAAACTATGTGCTGTATAAAGTGCATGCTTATAAGTGGACCTTGGCGGCTGACCGTTTGGGCAGACGAATTCACGGCAGTATTTATAGAGCCCTTCCACCCCATGTTGGCGCAACTCACAATCAGAGCGATTCTGCCCTTCTTTCCGAAACCCCGCCCAACCTGCGAGTTCTTTACTTACTTCTTTCTCATGTGGCCCTTGGAGTACTACAGAAAATTTTCCGGTAGAGACAGGCTAGCAGCCGTTAAACTGTTCAAGAATGCTGCCTGTTTCATTTGCGAAGTTACCGATATGTTTGACCCCTCGGATTTAGAAACTATGATTAGCATGCCCGAATGGAAACACTACATGCTCAAAGGAACATGGCCCTGGGAGGAAGATGAATCAGAAGAAGAGGACTCCGACGACTGAAAAAACTGTACCTTTAGAAAGCGTTATTTCTTATGGTAAATATGTCATGGCTGATACAAGTCAATTGGTTTTTTAATAACAAATACGTTTAAATAACTCTACACATGATTTACGGATTAAATAACTCTACATATTTAATTTAATTTAGATTATAATGATACTGGAATGTATATCATGATAATCAGCTTCATCCAAGTTATGTATACACACGCATTTATATGGTAGAAGTATGAGCCACAAGTTTTTCACTAAAACGAATGCTTATTCACAAAGTCCTTAATAAGTAAGTAGCATTCTGGATTTCCTCTATCCTGGTTAACTTCTGTAATCAAAACCATACACTCCCTTGGATAGATTTTGCCTTGCCTTTTTTAAAAAAGCCTGAAGCGACAAATACTGTACAGATTTTCGATATTATTAAATAATAAAGCAGCGAAACTGTGTTGTGGATTTCCTGAATTCACTGATTAAAATAGCTGTGAATAAAATTGTGTTAAAAATCTAAGATAACCTTATGATCAGCCAGGTTTGCATTAATTTAATCACAAAATTGAAACATTTTCATGCGCTACATTAATCAGCACATATAAACACTTTAGTATTGATGTTTATTCATAGTAATTGGGAAACAAAAAACATTTTCATTTTGCAAACTACTATAGTCGAGTCAATCAAAATATAATGCATTTGTCATTTATGCTTGAAATAGGAACAAAGTAAGAAATTAAAACCATCAGTTTATGTGAAAATAAGTTAAATCGTGATTGGAATGGTTGCTCAGTATTTGCAATACTTACATTCTTGCAAAGAGCAGATACCCACATAAGCAGGACTGCTTTTTATTCTAGTCTCAACATGATACGAGGTTTAAAAATAGTTTTATTTTTACAGATTTTGCATTAGCAGGCACAGGCACCCAAGTGATAAAAAGACCACATTGAAATCAAACTCAAATGTTTTTGCGTCAGTAAGAGTGTGGTTATTATGTGTGACGAGGCGTTAGTGGAAAATGAATGGCAAACATTACAGTAACAGATCAACTTTCACTACCTATGGTGGAAAGAAAGCCCAAATTATCGTATCCATACAAGTGTACAAGTGCTCTTCTTTGTTGCGAATATTCCTGATCTCAATTCATGTCAGCTCACATTTTCCGATTAATTTTTTTTTGGTGTTTAACACAACCGCTTGTAGATAATAGACAGTACATCTGCGTAGTATTGTAAACGTTGCAAAAGCCACCGTCCAGATTTCAGCGGAATTTTTTAAAGCTTCCATCAAGCTCGGTCGCATGTTGCTGAGGTCAGCATTCGTAAAGCCTTCAACATTTCATGTTTGATTGTCTGGAAAAGTTGATCAGCAGAAATCACTTCTTTGAATTTGAGCAAAGTATGTGAGTTGTTGTTTTGGCATCCAGCACGAATTGTCCTTGAAAAGAACTCTATTTGATGCGTGGAGTCTCAGGTATACAATTGTTGTACACAATTTACATTTCGTTTCAGGTTTAGATTTTACCAGAGCCACCTTTGAGCAATATTATCGAGACTATTAATTTACTATCGGTTTTTTCTATGTCTACAAGTTGTCATGAATTACGCTTCCAGAAAACGCTATTATTCACGTGTTATCATATATGCGTTTTCTTTATCAATGTTTTAATGCAGGTTCACACTGTGCAGATCCCAATCATATTTCATATTCAAAAAAGTTGACAGAAAACCCTTTTTACATTACTACTGGGCTTCTCGTATTATAGCTCTAAATTGCTTTTTAAACACGCTTCTGCCCGAGTATGCACCCTACATTTTTGACCCGAATATACTTGATCACCTCCACCAAATAGCGTTCTTAAGCTAACCCCTGTAATAGCTATAAAAGGAGCCTAACCATAGAACGAAGCGACCGTTATATTAATTTTTGTACATTCATAGGACGTTTTGTTCTAGTCCAGCATTCATATTCCTGTGTCAATAATTAAATTCGGTGATCCTATAGAAAATAAATCCAAAGGTAATTTTTTTATAAATTACCATCAATCAAATCCACAAAATTTGTCATTTAACTTAAACTTTACTGTGCGAAGGTAATACTATCCCTTGACAAGTCAAATTCAGCATGCCCACAAATATTAGAGATAAAGTTTACTTAGTTTTGCAGTGCTAGCCCAGATTTATTTTTATTCGCAGTGTAATTATTTAAATGATAACGAATTAGTTTTGTTAATGGCTTTTGAACAGTATTACAAGACTGCTTATTATATTCAAAAATTATATCCTTAATACAAAGGGCTTCCTGAGGACACAAACTCACGTGATAGCCATTTCAATGCCCTTCGCTTCAACTAGGAAACTTGGTATAAACGTACTTTTCATTGGACAACTTTGTGATTTTGTAATATGGTTTTGATTTAAATTCCTGTTTATTCCGTACATTTTTAATGCATGGGCCAGCATCTATTTTATATTTTAACTTTAGTCCTTGCAATTTTACAAAAACCTGGCGTGGAAATGGTCAGCTTGGGATACTTTAAGCAACACATTAGATGAGTACACATACAGTCCCTTTTCGTCCATTCCCGATCCTGAAGTTGAATTATTGACGGCTGTCATCGTAAAAATCCGAAATAAGTCTGGACGCTGTCATTATTTTGGATCGTCTAATTTAACAAACATCATTATTAACTTAACTTTGAGTGGATTGATCAAAATTAGGTAAAATGCATTTCGAGTTCAAGTGATGCAGTGCATTTCAGTCAAGCACCTTGCACAAGCATGTAAAAAAGGGAAGATGGTCAACTTGCATGCACGCTGAACCAGTGTCACTGCAAAACGCCAATTACATGAGTATCTAAGGTATCAGCATTTAATGCGGTTTTTCATTAATGTGAAAACAATGACCAAATGGTAGAATGCCACAACATGAAAAGAAAACCGCAACAGTTTAAAAGCAATTTAAGGGAGTGTAGACAGCAGACACTCGTCTAGTCCAACGTTGGTATTTCTACCAGAATCAAAAACAAATAAATCCCTTGCATTTTTTTAGTTTCCAGGACTGGAAAATTTTTACGAATTTGCTTTCGCATTATGACGGCATCTCAGGTTTGAAGAAATGTTAATACATCAAAGATACATGTCAGTATGTGCTGGGTAAGACTGAGTCTTGGACGGCTGTTCCTTTACGTGCCTAAAGTGAATTAATTTATAGCAGTCTTTGTTTACATGAAGTAGACTGCCCTACCCACCACCTTTCCCCTTTCTGTCATGGATGTGCAAGATATAAACATAAACGGGTTAAAAGGCCAGGAAGAAGGTCGGAAACTGGGCTTATTTAATTGCCTAGCTTGACTGGTAGTTGGAACTCTGCTACAGTACATGTTTCATTCACTTTTTGCGTTTTGCAACTACCTAAATGGAACAAGATATTACTTGAACATTCCACAAAATATGCAAACTTTTTGGATAGATATATTTTTTCTTAGATGTAAAATGATGAACTTATTTATACCATTAACTTTTTTTAAAAATAATATTCTGCTATTTGCATTTTTTTCCATTCGTCGCGATTGGGTCTTGGCTTGTAGACGGTAAAGTGAATCCATTACCTCACTAATGTATCAATTGAGCTGTGCTCTTTTAATAACAATTGAAAGGGGGGATGAGAAAAAACTTAAGGAGTTTAGGTTCCTGCGTCTTCCTACACATATTCATGAAACCAGATCATTACTATCTGAGGGCACCAAAAATTTCCTAATGCATTTAGCTAATGATATGTTGGGAGCCGGTTTAAATACTCAGATCTACTTGCGTGTTCTCCAACCTGATTTGGTACTAAATCTGCGAAATCTTTTATATTATCGCCTCTAATTCGTGACGGTCGGTCTATGCGTGGAAATAAATATAAGAGACATACATAAAGGGGGCAGTTGTAGTTGTAGCATCCACTGGCGTAATTAGGACCTAACAACTTAACATTTTCAATTTTTTTAATCCTATATGCAGTAAATGTTATAAAGTGGAACGTCACGCGAGAGCAGTGATTAAAATTAATAGCAAACACGTTTGCTTTACTCTGCAGATTACCTATTTGCCTAATGGGCGGTCCTTAAAAGCATTTCCATCCAAAGAACTATTGGAGGTTAACTTAATGGTGAAAACAGAATTTCCGGACTAATATATTTTATTGAGACTCACATTTCCGGGGCTAATAAATCAAATAATATCATGAATTGCATTTATAAAAAGAAACTTGCTGCATTAAGCGGAAATATGTGCGTTTCACCTTCAAAATACTTACGGAGCACTAGTATAACCAGTAGCCGGTGTCCTGGTATTACAGCGAAAGGCATGATTGAAGTGAACTAGTCCACACAAGCACAAAAGGTTGAGCAAACGTCCACCTGCCTCCAAATATAATGTCACCGTGTCGCAAGCAGACGCATTTGATGTCTACATCCCGGCGACCGGCCACCCGGAGGCTAGTGTGGGAGAAGAGAATCCGATTGGTTGGGTGCACAGCACGCACAGCACGCACACGCACGTTATATATGTGATGAGGTGTGCTTTAATTTTCGCCGTTTAAAGGAACTTTTAATTACGTTCATTTTCGAGGCCACTAGACCAGTTCTTTTTTACCATCTACCTTAATTTCCCGTAGCTATGATAATAAATTCTCTATTTAATCTAATATTTAGTGCAGTCATGTCATTGATAAAATAAGTCACTGAGGATGCGTGCTGGCAAAGTTTCGTTAAAGTTAAAGAAAATCGCAGTAATTAAGAACACTAAACGATGATTCATTCTGTAAAAATGCCAAGTTAGATTGCAAGGTAAAGTGCTTCAAGAAGTAATACTTAAAACAGAGCATCGATTGACTGAATTAGTAAAACGAATTGCCTCATAAGGTAATAATACATCGTTATTGCTTTGTTAAGCGAATTTAAATAAAAACGATCATTCTTTGACAAGTTGATGACAGACAACTATATCGGTTTAAGCCTGTTA